AGATAGATGGACAACAGACATATAGATAGATGGACAACAGACATATACATAGATGGAGAACAGACATATAGAACTAGAAAAATGCAAATTTTTAAGAGTTTGCTTCACTGATTTGTTCATTTTCTAAGTTTTTTGGAGGTGGATTTTTTTTAGTTTTGATGTAAGATTTATGAAAAATTTGGTACTAAGGTTAACATTAGACTTTTAAACAGTCATTTTTAAGAAGTTTGAGGTCGCACTGGAGTACTATTGTAGCCCCCTTCTCATTTGAAACCCCCAGATTTTCATCGGAGACCCTAAACTTTTCATTGGAAACACCAAACTTTTCATTGGAGACCCTAGATTTTCATTGGAGACCCTAGATTTTCATCGGAGACCCCCAGATTTTCATTGAATTTCTTACGGTCTCCATTGAAAATATGGGGGTCTCCAACGAATCTTGGGTTCTCCAATGAAAAGCTTGGTGTCTTCAATAGAAATCTTGGGTTCTCCGATGTAAATCTGGGGGGTCTACAGTAAAAAGATTGGGGTATCCAATGAAAATCTGGGGTCTCCAACGAGAATCTAGGGGTCTCCAACGAGAATCTGGGGGTCTCCAACGAGACGTTCATGGGGGTCTTTTTTCCCCATACTCCAGTCAGTGTACTGCAAATCCCTGCAGTACAAAACGAAAGCTTAGTTGAGGTGGGGTTACCATGTATGTGTTCAAACATAAAGAAAAAATGAAATTGTCGATTGTTTACTGAGTTTCCTAATAAAAAGAATAAAAATGAAGAAAATCCATAATTGATTTAGTTTATTAAATGTAGAAGGGAATTTAAGCTTAAATAGGTAAACCATGATATGGCATAAATTTACCATTCCCCGATTAATAATAATAATTAATTTCATTATTCATTAGACAAATAATTCTTAATTTGATAATTATAAAAGTTAAAAAAAAACTGTTACGCATAAAAATAACTATAAGAGTGCAGCTAGAGTTTATTACTAAGGAATTCAGTCTTTGCCACAAACTCTGATTTTTAAATCCCTATATCTTATCAACCCAATGTTGTTGACCTTAGATATTTCAAACTATGACTTCTGTTATATCAAACAATCAAAGTTTGAAATATCAAAGGTTTACATAATTTGGTTGTACATATATAGGTATTGGAAATTTGGGATTTGTTGCTCAGATTCAATTCCTTCGTTATTGATAATGGAGAAAACTTTATAGAGTTATTAAAGTATATGTCAGTTCTAACGATATAATAACTATCAAAATCAATAATAAAGTAATGTCGAAAAACCACAAGAAAATAAACAAACAAAAATTTTTTTTTTAACAAAGGGACAGTCAGATGGAAAAAAAAGAAAACGAACTCAGGTCATGATATGGAAAAAGATAATTTGCAAATAGTCGCTTTATAAAGATTGTTTTAAGAAAATTATTATTGCTTGAGATTGTTTCTGTCATAAAGATTCCAAACAAACTGTTTATATGAGTATAAGGTGGCGGTGGGGGTCGATCTAATTAATGAACTTTTACGGAAATTTCCCTCCTTAAACAAGCCGCCCAGGGAAATTTAAACTTTTTAAGTAATTGGACTTAAACATGATTTGTTTTTAAATACTGAATCACAGCTTACTATCAAATAAAAACTATTTTTTCTGTTCTCTGAGTACTCTAAATTCTAAAATTTTAGTTATTTTCATTAAATTTTTTTTAGAGGTTTCTCACGTTAAAACACAACAATTGATTACTTATGTTCTTAAAAAAATGCCAATTCTGCCTTTGAATTATATTTTTGCAACAAACTCTGATTTTCTAATCACTATATTTTTCCAACCAAATGTCGTGGATCTTAGATATTTTAATTCTATCAATTCTGTTAGATCAAGTAATCTAAGTTTAAAATATCAAAGAAATTAACCACCAGCAAAGATAGTTTAGCTAGATAGTTATATATTACAATTCATAACCAGATAGATAATTAGATAGTTTGATAGTTAGATGGTTGGATAGTTAAATAGTTAGATAGTTAGATAGTTAAATAGTTGGATATTTAGATAGTTAGATAGTTAGATAGTTAGATAGTTAGATGGTTAGATGGTTAGATGGTTAGTTGGTTAGATATTTAGATGGTTAGAAAGTTAGATAGTTAGATAGTTGGATAAGTTAGATAGTTAGATAGTTAGATGGTTAGATGGTTAGATAGTTAGAGATTTAGATAATTGGATTTAGATAGTTAGAGATTTGGATAATTGAATTTAGATAGTTAGATAGTTAGATAGATAGAAAGTTAGATAGTTAGATAGTTAGATAGTTAGATAGTTAGATAGTTAGATAGTTAGATAGTTAGATAGTTAGATAGTTAGATAATTGGATAGTTAGATAGTAAGATAGTTACAAAGTTAGATAGTTAGATAGTTAGATGGTTAGATGGTTAGATAGTTAGATAATTAGATAGTTAGATAGTTAGATAGTTAGATAGTTAGATAGTTAGATAGTTAGATAGTTATATAGTTAGATAGCTAGATAGTTAGATAGTTAGATAGTTAGATAGTTAGATAGTTAGATAATCAGATAGTTAGATAATTGGATTTAGATAGTTAGATAGTTAGATAGTTAGATAGTTAGATGGTTAGATAGTTGATAGTTGATAGTTGGATAGTTAGATAGTTAGATAGTAAAAGTGTCAACACTCAAGTTTCCTCGCTGTATAATCTGTCATACACAAACATGCAAAAACATGACATGGCCTGGGATAGATAGATAGATAGATAGATAGTCAAGTAGCAGAAGAGCATAAAAGAATATTTATAAAAAAGTTGACGCTGCTCTTCAGAATAGAAAAATTATTTTACTTTTAAAAGTGACACTTTAGCTTAACCAAGGACAGAACATTTTTCCTGGCAAACTAAACAAATAATCTCCCTGGTTTCATGTCATCCAGACTAATTGTTTAATAATCTCCCTGGTTTCATGTCATACAGACTAATTGTTTAATAATCTCCTTGGTTTCATGACATCCAGACAAATTGTTTAATAATCTCCTTGGTTTCATGACATCCAGACTAATTGTTTAATAATCTCCTTGGTTTCATGACAACCAAACTAATTGTTTAATAATCTTCTTGGTTTTATGACATCCAGACTAATTGTTTAATAATCTTCTTGGTTTCATGACATTCAGACTAATTGTTTGATAATTTCCTTTTTTTCATGACATCCAAACTAATTGTTTAAAAAATCTCCCTGGTTTCATGTCATCCAGACTAATTGTTTAATAATCTCCCTAGTTCCATGACATCCAGACTAATTGTTTAATAATCTCCTTGGTTTCATGACATCCAAACTAATTGTTTAATAATCTTCTTGGTTTCATGACATACAGACTAATTGTTTAATAATCTTCTTGGTTTTATGACATCCAAACTAATTGTTTAATAATCTTCTTGGTTTTATGACATCCAAACTAATGGTTTAATAATCTCCTTGGTTTCATGACATCCAGACTAATTGTTTTATATTGAGTATGTAAATGGTGCAGTAGAACGGATATCCAATAAATAATTATCATAATTATATATTGTAAGTATTATTCATGTAAATTGCAGATATATCTAATAACTTTGTCAACAACAGTAATCTATTGACATTTAACATATTGCACAGTATTTATAAAAAGTAGAAATATTGTTGTTTATGTATAAAGATAAGAGTCGAAAAACCCTGTTTAGCCAAAATTAGGTTACAAAGATATAATTATTAAAAATTTAAATTTGCTGCCTGTTTTTATTTCTTTTTCAGCTCTGAGTCTGGTGTTTGCACGGTAATGAATACAAAACTATAATTAATATTTTTATTTTCTCCTTGCTTCTAAAATGTAATCACAAGATCCACAGTTTTAATTACATTTTTTCTAGATAAAACATGAGAAAGACGAAGGGATAATTTTATAGAATTTTTCCCTTTTTTTTAAAAACCTATTTATCAAAAACTTCGATACTTCAGTTTTTGCATTTTAGACAAAACTTTAGACAAAATTTAACTTATTTATTAAGCGTATTCAGAGCCACTAGGAGGGGGGGGGGCAGTACTCCCTCTTCGGCACACTAAAGAAGACTATCAGGGACTTGGAAGAACTTGTATCTCTCTTTTGAGACTTATTTGAATTTCTGGACCTGTAAAGTGTAAGATATTTGCAAAGAACTTTTGAACCCTCATTTATATCTCAAGGATAGAATATCATTTTGACATTGACAAATCTTTTTTTCAAAAATATGTTGCATTTTCTAGAATGCCCTAATAATTAGACATAGCTTTTAAAAGGCACAACAAAGTACACAAATACTATATTCTTAATAGGTTTGCTTTTTTTAAAACTTTGCCATATTTTTATCCTAAAAAAAACTAGAAGGGGAGGACGAACCAAAACCGATAGTTTTTTGCGTTTAGTCTCTCAGTGAAAACGTGGCCTAGTGTCAGAAAAGCAAACGTTTAAAATGAATAATTTAGAAATTTAGAAAAGTTCAAAAAACTTAATTTTTTTGAAAAACTAACCAAGCTATCTCCCATCACTATTTGTACTGTACATACAGTGTACGTAAATAAAAATGCTTTTAAGTTGTTTGATTTTTGATCTTGCAAAAGAGTAAACTTGGATAATCTCTAAATATTTAATTACTCACTAAACCTCTCTCTAGTTCTCTTTTATTATGTTTCTCACTATATCCCTTGTTCTTTCTCTCTATTCTTCACTTTCTCTTTCTTTCTTTAGCTCACTTTTTCTCTTTCTCTCTCTACCTCACTTTTTCTCTTTCTCTCTCTACCTCACTTTTTCTCTTTCTCTCTCTACCTCACTTTTTCTCTTTCTCTCTCTAACTCACTTTTTCTCTTTCTCTCTCTACCTCACTTTTTCTCTTTTTGGCTTTCTCTTTCTCTCTCTAACTCACTTTTTCTCTCTTTCTCTTTTTCTCTCTTTCTTTCAGTAAATAAAATTATTTTTTTGTGATTAATTTCTTGAACAACTCTAACAGATCTTAATCTTACACAACTAATTATTGTAATATTACACAGCCGGTAGAAATATTTTAAGAAAGGAAAACTTTTCTTGTTTTTTTTCCTCCCTTTTACAAAAGGTAAATGATCACAGCCTGACTCCAAAAATAAACATTCTCATGAAATCATTTTTAAAAAATTCGGAATATTTTACTTTAATTTTTCATGATATGTTCTTTTTCTACGGAGCCTACATGGTTTATAAATTTTCGCGTTTTAAAATCTCAAAATGGAAATGTCAAATTTTCCCGTGTAAATTTTCCTGCCTTTGCTGACTTGGTTTAAAAGCAAAGGATGGAATTGAATAATATGTTTGTGACTGAAACTCTGATTAAAAGTATCGAATACCAATATAAAGGTAACTTAAATAATTTTCACAGACTTTAAGGGGGGATGGCGGGGTTTTTGGACCCCAACATATGGAAGTCTTCAGACTTACAAAATGGCACAATGATTGCAGGTTGACTAGAAGTCCCTTTAAGGGTACTCAAAAGCCCTTAAAGGGGCCAGGAGCGAGCCCCTTTAAAGGAACAAGTTCTAAAAAAGCCCAGAGATTCAACTCACTAGTTAACACAGGGTGTGCACTGTGCAGTGTCACTAATACTAAACAATAACTATTTGAGATTCACCCTGTTAATCTCGGAAAACTTGAACAGTTAAAAACATTGTTCTGGAAAGGTTTGACAAAAGTGTCACTTATCTTTCATCATTATTTTCATCAATATCACTTTTTAAATCCAGACCGTTCATGGTGGATCGTTTAGAGTATACATAAGTTACAAATAGGATTCTTTAGAAGGTGTGGCCTCCCCCTCCCTGACAAGCTTGAGGTTGCTGGCCTGCCCTATGAGGGCGGGGAACTTGTGAACACTGTGTATCTCCTCCCCAGAGTAACCACGAACCTCGCCGTTCTTCAACAATTCGTCGCGCTCCGAGGGAGTCCAGTCCCCGTGGAATCCCATACTCACACGGCCAACTTCTAGCCTCCACGCTGATCTCAGGGCGAATCGATGTCCTTGGCGGATTTTGTGGCGGGTAACACGATCTATGTTCGCCCCGTACAGTGTACATACTGTAAATGCAGGGTTTGTACCGTGTACACACACCTCCCTGCCCCCGCCTCTTAAACCACCTTTAGTCACATTGTACGAACCTGATAGTCGTTCCAACTCCTCCAAATCGTTCCCGTAGCGCGATTCCTCCCGGATAAAGTAGTATTCCTCTTCATCCGTTGGCGATTCTATATCCAGTAGCTTGGCGCCATTTAATACGCTGGCGAATACGTTCTGGAACACGCCGTTGGCCGCTTCATTGACCAGGGTTACCACTATGCTCTCTCCGGCTCTAGAGAGCAGCATACCGCGTCCAAATATTGAAGTTCTGCTAGTGATCTGAGGAGCCAGGTTCAACCTTCTAGATGAGCTGGTCAACCTAGGCTGCTCAGGGATAAAACTAGGGCTGAGCAGACTGTCACGTGAGAGATCCTTGGACTCTTGTATTGCCAGTCTAACCTGGGGACCAGTATCCATCCGGGACAGTACAGTGGAGTGTACAACAGACGGTCTGTACATGTTCTGCGTCATATAGGTGGCGCCACTAACAGACTTCAGATTAAACCTCAATAGTTTCAGCCAGCCATCAGGACCTAAACAAACAAAAAAGTTAACAACTTTTTAATTTTAAAAATTTTTCTTCAATTTTATAGATCGATCATATTTTTTATTGTAAAAAAGTGAAACTGAGTTAATTAGTAGATCATAAAGGGGTTGAAGCCAACTCAACTAATTTGTTTATTTGTTGTGAGAAAACCAAACAATTGGCAGATAGTTTGGTAGAGAGAGAGAGAGAGAGAGAGAGAGAGAGAGAGAGAGAGAGAGAGAGAGAGAGAGAGAGAGAGAGAGAGAGAGAGAGAGAGAGAGAGAGAGAGAGTAATCAAATAAGTAAAATATACAAAATATAGAAAACTTAAAAGTTCATCAAATATAATTTATATTTGTAAAGGAAACCTTAAATAATAACTATTTATAACAATGTTATTTTGGTTCCCAGTTTTTGGACACACATTTTCTCTTTATCGAGAAGGCCTTTTTAGATTTAATTTTGTCCCCAGCTTTAGCGAGGGACAACATATAATCTAAAAGGACGGGAACCTTCAAAACTTCTGGCTGGCGTAGTTAAAATCTCCAGTATCGTCTAGGTTACTGATCTAATGTTTACATATGAATATGATTGGGACATAAAGGAAGTTAGGTTAATTAAATATAAACTATTTTAGTGGTTTTCAAATAGGCCTTTAACCTATATGTACAAGTGACCGATACGAATTCTGAGATTCATCCCCCCCCACCCCCTATAAAAAGTATATTTACAATGAACCCTCCTTGGCTTAATTTAATACCTAACCCGTGCATGATACCTCTTTATGCATGTGAACATTAAGCCTAGTATATATACACGGAGTAAGGAACAGGGATATATATCTACTCATTTCAAAATCTAAAATTCAATTTTTAAAGATTTTTATTAGCAATTTGGTGGACCAGGGGGTGGGGGATGGGGAGTAATATTACCCCTGAAGTAGATACCTATATATTTTTATATAACCTTGGGATAGATAGATAGATAGCAAGATATAATTGCAATATAAATTATCTAAGTAAGATATGGATAAATAGATGGATGAATAGATCACTAGACATAAGGAGGAGGTAAACTTATTACTGGTGTAACTTTGTGAGCTCGTAGCTTAGTTTATCCAGTCAATTTTAGATATTAAAAACATTGTGCTTCTTCTCAATAGCTCTTTAAAAAAATGAGTAATAATTGAAAACATTTAAGATTTCAATCTTATGTGCAATTTTTACCTTAGTTTAACGTGAGGTAGGTAGGATAGATATAAAGATAGATGAAGAACTATGAATACCAATATAAAGACAGAGGTCGGATGCCAAAGACAAAGATTTATTTATTCAAATATTTCATCTTTTATATCCGTTATATGGACAATCATACTTTTCTACCTTTAATTCATACTGTTCCTGACATTATATGACATTTTTGCATTGCATTCATTTAGATAGACATTTATTCAACTTATAATTCGTACTGTTCCTGACATTATATGACATTTTTGCGTTGCATTCATTTAGATAGACATTTATTCATTTACACGGAAATATAAATCCGAAGAAAAGATGGGACATGCTGAAAGTGCCTCCAACAACTCGTTTTATCACAAATTATATGATTACATGCAGCGTGTAGCCTTTAATTATCAATTTCTCCATTTTCAAAACTTAATGTCCAGAGTTATTCATAAAGGATGAGAACATACACAATTTACTCAGTTCAGCTTTACACTTACTTAATTTCTATTTTATATAATTATTTGATTTTTTCAATGTTATATTTATTGAGAACATAATAAGTATACATATATATACAAACAGAAAGATAAACAAATAGATGGATAGATAGATATGATTTTATCATAACAGATAAACCATCATAATTCTTTCTCTTTTCTCTGAACTCAATGATAAGCCCCCTCCCCCTCCCTCACTTCCTAACTTCCAACACTTTGTAACCATAACAGCTAAACCATCATAATTCTTTCTCTTTTCTCTAAACTCAATGATAAGCCAACCATCCCCCCCTCCCTCCCCATCCCAGTCTCAGCAATAACAACCCCTTCTAAACCCCTAACCTTAAGAACAAAAAGACTAAACTTGCATTTATTTATAAAAAGAAATAAAAAGTATTCATTTTTACAAAAATAATTAATCGTTTAACCCAAATGCACTTCCCAATGCATTTCACATGCTGAACTAGATAGAAGGAGAAGGTTTAATTACTGATCCGACTTTGTGATCTCGTAGCATCTCTAGTTTTGATTTCAAGCATAAGTATGTGAAAAGCAAATATTTGAAAGTCAAAACATTTTTTGTTAAATATAAACGTGAAAATTAAATTAGTTTGACATCACAAGCAAAAGGGGTTTAAATGATCTTTGAGGCTAAAATAAGTGATTGGAAAGGAGGGATTTTGAGAAAATCTAAAAAAAGTTGATTAAATTCTTGTTTCTGCAGAATATTTCTGCTTGTCCCCTTTAGTCTAGATATGCAATGAATAATTCTAATCAATATTGATTCATTAGTATAACAGAGTAAGAGAACTGTTTAAATTAACAAATTATCCCGGGAACAATTCTAAACAATTCTAGACAACACCAAATACCATTTCTCTAATTCTACATTGGGTTGAGATCTAAATGTTTTAAATCTTATGATTGATCTATTGCGTATTGATAATTAGACAAATCGCTAACTAGATCGAATGCAAATCTTATTCGTTGAATCGAATAGTTTGTCTCTCTCTCTATTTTCTTTTACATCGTAGACAACATGAAAAAGGTATTATTTCAAAAATACCAGTTTTTGGGTTGAAAAAATAAAGATTTTTTAATTTGCCGCTGTACAGTATACAATATAAATTGCATAGTGTACACTGTACTGTAATATAAATATTTAATGAATCAATAAAAAAAAGCTGTTGAGTGAAGTGATAAGAAAAAAACTCTTATTACCTGAGAATGTTGTGATGCCCTGCTGCTGCTGTTGTTGTTGAGTATCCCCGTGTTGTACCGGCATGTTGTTGGTTGGATTGGTAGGATTGTTGTTGATGTATCTGTAGGAGAAGATGTTGAAGGGAGAGGTGAGCTCATTGATCAAGGTCTCCCACCCCGGGGTCATCCATTGTCCCAGTACTGGGTCATATACACGCTCTCCGAAATGAACAAGCCTAAAAATAGTTAAATCATAAATATTCTCTTATCAAACAAGCTTAAAAGAGAATGTCAGCGGCGGCTTATGATATCGTCTACGGGGGGATGGAACATAATTGAAGACATTTTAATCCCCCCTGGAATTTTTTATAATGAATCTGGTAAATTTTATGTCAAAACCATGAGCAGCTGGGGGGTGGAAGGTGGAAAATGTGTCAGCAAGATTTTGATTTTTCTAAAATCTTTTCATTTTGATTAATAAAGTGGCGGCGCAGGCCAATTTTTGTTTAAAAATCAAAGTTAAAGGACTGCAAGGTGCCTGCTCACTCTTCTTGCGCTCCTTCTTTCAGGGGTGGCGTCCCCATAAGACGCCTCTGGGGATTGTAGATGTAATTTCAATTTTGTAGGAAAACCACCAATGAAAATAAATATATTTTCAAAAAACAAATCAGAGATATCTAATTCATACTTGATTAGACAAAGCTTCTAATTTAAAATTGGGAATCTATCAATGGAGGGTCATTTAAAACTTACTACAACAGTCCCTGAGGACAACATGAAAGATATCGGCATTTTTCTATCTTAAAAAAACTAAATATATTTTCTTCCTTTACTTATAATTGCTACATAAATCCGTAAGCCACATTTAATTGAAAATGACAAATTTTAGATAGAAAAACAAGTATATCTTTATTATTTTATGCTCAGACTGAGGTAAAAACCATACCATATTGTTTGTGAATTGGACATGAAACTCAGTAAATGTAGGATTTCTTGAAAATATCTTATTTATTATGAGACTCACTATATCTAATTTTCTATCTTTCTATCTATCTATCTCCGTGAATTGGGATTGTTTTAATGAAGCTATTAACTTTGTTTTGAAAGCTTGCAACCATTGACAAATACATTATCTTTCTATCTTTATATTTCTATATTTCTATCCTACAATTCAACTATATATCTATCTATCTATCTATCTAACTAATTGAAAGCAATCTAACCCTCATAAATGGGGTTGATCCACTACAAATATTATGATTAACATGAGAAACAAATCTTTTACAAACAACATTCTTTTTAAATCATCCACCAAGATCCCAGGGGGGAACTATTCAAGAAAACTTTCAATTATCCAATTACAGTTTGAAAATGACCCTAATACACAAAGTTTTATTTAAAATTAAACTTTATAAAACAAATGGAGTATATTCATTTTTTTTAACAAAATTCATAAATTCTATATTATGACTTTTTAAAATCTATAGAAGTGTCTTTGCGCTTTTAAATTGTATCTGTCATATATGAGTTTATGACTTCTCTAGTTATCATCTTAAACCCATGAGTAAGAAGAGCAGACTTGTTGATTATAGAAAATCATTAGTCTGGAAAAGGGTGTTAAGACATTTCCAAAAAAATATTTCATGGACATTTCAACTACAGGATATTTCATAGATGGACATTTCATAGACATGACTCGTTAGACAGGACAATTAATAGAAATCATTTCGTAAAAGACATTTCATAGACAGGACAAATCATAGAAAGCAAATTACAAAGACTAGTTTCAGGTTCCTACCTTGTATGCTCCTCTAGTATCCCACCGTTGAAGTCTATGTGGAGCTTGAAGGAGGGATTGCTGTCGTGCATGGTGCGCCCAAAGGGTGTTCTCTTCATCTGTTTGATGAGCTGACCGGAAGAATCAAACACTGCTCTAGGAGTTCCTGAAGTATCAGTTCCAACATAGAACCTGGAATCCTGACTCTCCAGTCCTACCAGTAGGTTATCTTCATCATACAGGAGTTGAGTAGTCCGGTCCTGTTTAGGATAATGGATATGGGATACCTGGTTGGACTGGGACGGATTTCCATAGATATACTGGACCATGTTTCCACGATGGTCCTGGGACCCAACCAGTCTTTTCTCATCGTCATAATAAAATCTGACAGCAAACTTTCCTGGTTCAAAAGCACTGATCATTTGTCCAAAAGTATTGTAGGAGTATCTCTGCTCTCCACGTCGTATAACAAAGCCTCGGTTGTCATATGTAACAAATTCAAGGTCTCCAAATTGTGAGACCCTGTCTCCGCTGTCATAGCCCAGGGTCACCCTCTGCCCCTGCTCGGTCACAGAAACAATATTTCCGTTGACATCATGAGTATAGATCCAGCTAGCATCAGATCCACTTCGAACTATATTTATCTGATTGTTTGCATTGTAGGCTATCTCCTCATTGGTAGTCGTATGCTGTAAGAAGACTGATTTTAACGAGATCTGACTGTTGACATTGTATTCAATATTCACACGGAACAGTGGGACTCCTTTGATAATCAAATTTAAACTTTGAAACCGACCATATTCATCAAACTTCTTTTCTCGAACAAAGTTCTTTGACAAGTCCTCCATGATAACCATACTAAAGGATCTGTGGATTATCTTTAGATCTGAGACTCCCATTATATTTCCGGTTTTGGGATCATAGCGAACATGGTTGGTTAACTCTGTCTGTCCAATTATATCTAGTTTAGTAGAGGAGAGTCGGCCTGTAGCATCATACTGGTACTCCATACTATAATTGTTCAGGCCTACATTTCCCAGGAATTCTTTAGAGATTTCTTTGACGGCTCCCCGATGATATCTTTGCTTGGTCTTCATATGAAAACTGTCATCCATCACCTCAACTGTTTTTACCAGGGCTGTGCCGGATATGTAATGATAATGGATAGAAGATACTCCTCCAATTACTGTCCTAAGATGTGCTGCATCATCATAAATATATATGACTTTCCCAGTATTCCCAGGATATACCTTGGCTAGAAGGTGTACACTTTGATCAAAATGTTGAATGTAAGGTTCTTTATTCCACGGGGAGAAATATTTAAGGATATGGGCTCCGAGTGTGAGTTGTTGTACAAAGGAATGGATGTGACCCCGTGGTGTTATAATGGCTTCTAGAGCCCCTGTTTGATCATGTTTTAGTATAAATCCTCCTCCGGTAGGAACTACAACCTTACTCGGATGATTGGTCCATATTCCTGGAGAATCAGAGTAAATATACTGCAGGCTTCCTGGCGAGTTTCCATTTTTAATCTCTTTCAGTCTGCTCATTCGGTCGTAACTGTATGTTTCTACCAGAGATCCCATGGCCCATCGGATAGGAAGTCCTATTGAATTGTATTCTTCTATAATGGTTGGAAAGATCCCTGCTGGGAGAGAACTAACAACTTCCGATGTTTCACTCCTATTTATACTAATGATGGTTTTCTGTGCATCCAGACTCAATATTTGATTTCCAGAATTCTGATCTAATTCAACAGTGAACATGGACTCTCCATTAACATGCAATTTCTTCCCAACCTTGCCTGATGTTGAGTATCCATTATTTCCATTACCATAGTAAATCCATTCCAACTGATTTACAACTTCTTTTCCTATTTCTGTTCTCTCTGAGGATGGGACGGGAAAGCTCTCTGCTAATCCTGGATTTTCCCCTTGCAAAAATATATAGGGAGCAGTCTTCATCAGGACTTTATGTCCCCATTTAGATTCTGTAATGAAACTCTTATCTGATTCTCTCTGTATTATTTCCACCTCATGTCCGCAGGATTTATAGAGGAAACTTTTCTGTATCAGGAGAGACATTTCTTTCTTGTCCCTTGTCACATTAACTATGGCACCGTTGATTGATATGTCTGATATGAGATTAATAATCTCTCCTGTTGGTGTAACTGCCTTCTCTAGCCGGCCATTGTTATCATACTCATAAACATATCCATTTCCATTGGTCTGCATGCGAGATCTGAGCAGCTCACTAGATCTGTAGTAATCAATCAGGATAGAATTGTTAGCATCAATACTGAAGGATCTAAGAAGATGTTTTCTGTCCACAGACACGTCAAATTTCTGGCGCTGTGGGTTCTGTATTGACTCCACCTGTCCAGCATAGTTTCTAACAATTGATATTTTCCCCCCGGTTGAATCAGATATGGATACCAGGGCCCCTGTACTGGTACTCACAGAGTATGCAAAATTATACTTAATCCTGTTGTTTGCCATGTTCCTTGTTTCCATATGAAGCCCGAACTTGTTGAACCTGTAGATTTCCTGGTTTTCAGTTGAATAAACTTCATACATTTGGGTGGAATCAATCTCTGGAATTCTCTTACTAATTGTTCTAATCCTATAATTAGTTTGGTCACAAACATGAATTCCTCCATCTGGAGTGACAGCTATACCACTGATGAATCTGAACAAGCTATGAATAGCTAAATGATTCTTGGCATTAAAACAATCACAATCAGATTCTTGGCAGTTGCACTTGGAATCTTTCCCGGCAAAAACACTAATCCTTCCGTCTGTCCCGACAACAGATATTCTGTTGATTCTTCTTGTATCCGACTCTGCAATATACAATTCCCCACTGGGGGAAAATGCAATGGCAATGGGGGAAGCTAGTGTTGTGTAAGAAGCAAAATTGTTGTAAAAACTAGATCTGGGCCTGCTGCAGTGTAAAGGCCGTCCTGCAACAACTTTAAGATGTTGGTTTTCTGTAATCTTCATGACAATGTTATCATCCATAAAGTAAACTGAGTTATCCAGAGGGTTAACTGCTAAGTCAACTGGCCACTTTAAAGATATATCTTTAAGGTTGACAGTGCCCTCACAGGGTATTGGTTTCCACTGGCTATTCTGTGAATGCGCTGATATTAAAGTTGACACAGTTCCCCTCTCATCCATCTTTCGTATTGTAGTTCCATCAGCAAAGTAAACTATGCCTTCTGCTGATACTGCCAAACCTTTAGGATAGATAAGTTGAGCGTATAATGCGGGTCCACCGTCCCCACACTCATTCTCTTCCCCTGGCATACACTGACCCCGAGATCCTATCAAAGTTTTCCAATTATTAACAATATCCTGAGGGTCCTCTGTGTTAATAACCTCCATAATCCTGTACCCCTCAGAGTCCGAAACATAAAGAGCTCCATTCTGAGGATTAACTGCCAGGTAGTATCTATGTGCTACTGTGGTTGCATTCAACTGCAGGATAGTTCTGACCAAACCTGCAGGGTTAACCTTTCGAATAAGATTAAAGTCTCCAATATAGAGTGATCCATCAGGGGCGGACACAATCTCCATTGGGGAGAGGAGTGGCTTGTTTTTGGCTTCTCCATTGCAGTTTGGACACTCATAAGGTCTTCGTTTTCCGTTGCCAAAGGTTGTAAAAACCAAGGATGGAGTTTCCTTTAAGAAAACATTTGTTCCATCCCCCCTGTATAGGATACCCTCCTGGAAGTTATATCTATGATGTATATCCAAATCCCAGCCTCCAATATTGCTGAGGGTTAGATCTTGTCCGGATACCCGGGCACTCTGGGTGTTCCACATAATCCGGGCACATCCGGTGTACTCATACCCAACCTTAACCAGGGCCGTGGTTGTACCGTACACTCTCTGTCTGTACACATTAACCCCCTTCCAGGAGTAAGTGTACTTAAGGTTTGGATCAGCCTCAAATGTTTTCTCAAACAAATCTCCTTCTATAGTGATTTTAAGGTGTATTTTATGAAGAGAGGTGGGAATAAGGTCGGGTGTGAGCTGGAGCTGAATGGTGGAGAGATAACCCTTGCTCCGGGGTGAACTGTAGATCAGCCTGGAGCAGGATAAACATTTACATTTTATACAAAATATTTTGAATCTCAAGTGCGGGCTCAGGGGGAGAGATGAGGGAAAATGGAAACTTTTACATTAAAATACACTTTACCCTGGATACAGGGAAATATGAATTAATGGGAATTGAGAAAAGCTATATTGGATGCTAAGATGTTAAACTAGTTTATGCTGAGGGGGCGATTTCTAAAATAAATACATTAAACCCAATGAAGGATGTTTTAACAGACTTTTGTTATGTTTTCCTAACTGCGCTATGAAAGCATAAAACAGAAACTGATCCCACATATCATAAATTCCTTGCAAGAAAAACAAACAATTTACAGCCTACAGTCATGCTATTAAAGTGTCCGAAGGAGGATTGTTAATTTATTTAAATGTTTAAGTTCCTGTGGTTTGTTGAAGGGATGAGGATGGACTCGAATAAAGACTGTGTTTCAGCAATTATTGAGGTTCCTACTGACTTTACACCCTGAGATCTAAACCTGAGACAACACCTGTCAAATTCATGCAAAAAAAGGTATAAAAAAGATTAAAAACAACAACAATATTTTTAAAAAGTTAAGGCGAAACGAACTTGCCACAAACTCCAATTTTTAAATATGTTTATCTTTGAAACAATATGCCTTAGTCAGGTTGCAAAAATATAGAAATTATAAATTTTGTATTTTTTTTCATTGACTAATTCATGATTTTTAAAAGTATTTTTCAAATTAACAAAATAAAATTTTAAATTTGAATATTGACAATGTTCCTGGCAGATGAGATGACGATGGGTTGTATAGTCTGGAAATCATGTTGCTCACATGCAGCAGTTAGGTTCATCTTCACCTCAACCATCATGCTCATCATCACAGGGTCCAACACTATCACCTGAATATTTAGCAGATCAATAATTAGTTAGAAATTAAAGTTGAAAGGTTTTGACATGAAATACAAGAAATGTTGATAAAAAGACAAAATGGTGGACAGAGGAGACAAAGAAATTCAGAATACTCCACTTTTTGTTATAAAATTGATGTTAAACTAAAAAGACTATCTCTCGAATATCCCTCGACACCCAATCAGTGACTTTTTAGATTGATTTCCCCCTCCCCGCTTCCTCTCTTCCACACAATTCCCCCAATATCCCAATTTAGATTCTTATTTTCCCCCACACAACAATCAGTCACGTTTCAGGAGTCCCTTCAGTAAAAATCCCTTCTTTCTAATCCCCGGATATTCAATTGTGTTTAGGGTCCTTTAAATAATTGGAAATTAGAAACGTATTCTTAGTTTTCTGTATTTTCTTATTTCTGTATTGTGAGTTATATCATATGTAAGTATTCTTAGTTTTCTGTATTGTGTTTTGTGAGTTATATGTTATATATGCATTCTGAGTTTTCTGTATTTTCTTATTTCTGTATTGTGTTTTGTGAGTTATATGTTATATATGTATTCTTAGTTTTCTGTATTTTCTTATTTCTGTATTGTGTTTTGTGAGTTATATGTTATATATGTATTCCACGTTCAGTAAATTGCAAGTAAGATGGTAAACTTAATGTTTTTAATTATGATTCCTTTTATTGAAGAAATATTAAAAATAACAAGAATGTTTTGAATTTCTAATATGTAGCCGAATCAATTTGTGTTTCTCATACTTAAGCGAAAAATCAAAACTACAATAGCTACGAGGTCACAAAGTCGTATCAGTAATGTCGCACACATTTAATTTTCACCGTCTATCTCGTTCACAATGAAACATATTCCATGTTTTATTTTATGTTCTCTTTTATAAATTTCTTACTTTGCAGCTCGTTAACTGCAATTTGTATTCACATCTTCTGAGTTCTGCATTTTAAAGTTCTTAGTTCTGTGTTTTTCTTTCTACTTGTTCTTAGTGCTATGTTCTTCTTTCTAATCTGTTCTTAGTTCTGTATTTTTCTTTCTCATCTGTTCTTAGTTCTGTGTTCTTTTTCTAATCAGCTCTTAGTTCTGTTTTCTTCTTTCTAATCTGTTCTTAGTTCAGTGTTCTTCTTTCTAATCTGTTCTTAGTTCTGTGTTCTTCTTTTTTAATCTGTTCTTATTGCTATGTTCTTCTTTCTAATCAGTTCTTAGTTCTATGTTCTTCTTTCTAATCTGTTCTTAGTTCTGTGGTCTTCTTTCTAATCTATTCTTAGTTCTGTGTTCTTCTTTCTAATCTGTTTTTAGTTCTGTGTTCTTCTTTCTAATCTGTTCTTAGGGCTATGTTCTTCTTTCTAATCTGTTCTTAGTTCTGTGTTCTTCTTTCTAATATGTTCTTAGTGCTATGTTCTTCTTTCTAATCTGTTCTTAGTTCTGTGTTCTTCTTTCTAATCTATTCTTAGTTCTGTGTTCTTCTTTTTAATCTGTTTTTAGTTCTGTGTTCTTATTTATAATCTGTTTTTAGTTCTGTGTTCTTCTTTCCAATCTGTTCTTAGTTCTATATTCTGTTTTCTGTTCTAAACCATACTATACTACAACCTTATATAAATATTCTTCTGTTTAAAATTATTCTGAAGAAAGAAAGAAGAGGGGAACCTCAGTATTTTTCTAATTGATGTAAATTATGTGAAAATTTGAATTCTAAAAGCCGGGGAAATCTTGTGCATTAAGATAACGTCCTAATTGATGCTAGGTATTAACAGGCGCTTGTTAATACCATGGAGAATTAAACATATCGGGGGTTTAGTAGAAATGAGAAAGATATAGAAGAAATCAGTAGACTTAGCTTAGTGGATCAATAGAATTAGGAGAAGTAAAGATGAAAAATAAATATTTTTGGAGAAATTCAAAGATTTAGTAGAATCAGTAGAATTAAGAGATATCAATAGACTAAGAGAAGCGGTGGATTTATGGGAAATCAGTGATTTGGAAAAAACCAGTAAAGGAACTGAGTTTTTGTCACAAACTCTACTTTTCTAATCTCTTTATCTTTGCTACCCAATGTCGTAGACCTTTGATATTTCAAACTATGAATTCTGTTAGACCAAATATTCTAAGCTTGAAATATCAATGGTTTACATAATCAGATTGTAAAGATATAGGGATAAGACAATTTAAGTTTGTGATCAGGAGATATCAGTTAAATCAAAAGATTAAGGGGAATCAGTAGATTTAGGAGAAATCAATAGATTTGGGAGAAACAAGCAATTTTGCAAATCAATACTTAAAATTTCACTAGATTTTGTAAAAGAAACAAAAGGTAAACCTTAAAATTATATGGTTTTAAACAAACCAACAGGAAACTTATAAAATAAAGGATTTGAATTTTTGTCAAAGACTTCATTTTTCTAATCTCTTTATAATTGTGTAAACCTTTGATAAACCTAGACTATTTAACCCTATTCCTGCTGGGGGGGGTGGATGAATGAGAAGATAAATGAGTATGAAAGATGACTGAGTGGATAAATGTATGGAAGAATGACTAATGGATAAATGAGAAGATAAATGAGTATGAAAGATGACTGAGTGGATAAATGTATGGAAGAATGACAATCAACCAGCTAACTCATTAACTCAGTAGATAACTCTCTAACCAGCAGCTAACTCACAGCAGGGATAGGGTTAATCTAACAGAATAAATAGTTTGAAATATCAAAGGTCTATGACATCAGCTTTGAAAACCAGATATTGTTGCAAAAACTCCTTTTCAGATAAGAATTTAAAAATCAGAAGGGTCACTAGAAAACAGTAGATTTTAACTAGTCGTCTTTTATTACAGTGCGAATCAAAAACTGTGGAATAGTAAGACAAAGAAGCAGAATAGTTGATAAGCTGGCTCTATACCTCGTTCCATGGAGCGAAGAGTGTAATAGTACGGGGAGGGAAGGGACTCTTCCCTAACTGCAGGGTTACAGAGCCACCTCCATTCACTAGGAAATCAAACCAACCATCCTCCCTAGATAGATAGAAGTATATTTATAGATTGATAGGTAGATAGATAGAAGTATATTTTAGAGAATTTATAAACTTTAGATAATTAAAGAACTGAAATTTCTTAAACATACTGTAGACGTGAATCGGACATGCTTCTTTACAAGTGTAAGTTACTGAAATTACCTCCACAGTACCATAAAATGAAGTATTTATAAATCTGACCTAGTCATGGTGTATCCTTCTGACAGAGTATTCTCTCTGGTGACCCGTACACCAACCAGTCCGCGACCCGCGCTGGTCACCACACGTCCTCGTATCACGGCAACACGGCTGCAATAAGAAAATATAGATATTAACTTCAAATCAAAAATGCGACCATGCAGAGTGCAACAAAAATGTTTTGAATTTTAAACAATTTTTTTTGTAAAAATCTTAAAATAACGAAAATGATTAAATTTTGGCTTAAAGTTAGACATTCCAAGTTATAATTAAGTTCTATTGAGTAAAAAAAGTTTATCCAAGAACTTTTTACCCAAGTGAATGGATGAAAAAGAACTCTTTAAATACTTTTCAAGAGCAAATATTTGGGGAGGGGGGGGGGGGTTATGTAATAAACCACATTCTTTGGAGAATTTTCACAAAAATATTTTACGAGAAAAAAGTTTGATGAGAAATGGTATAAAAATGTTTAATAACATTTAAACAAAACATATTTAAGTGTTCTGTGGCAAATAAAATAACACAAATCTAATCAACATAAATATAAAAAATCTGGCAAACAAAAATGTTTCAAAGATACATTTTAAGTGGACAGTGTTCATTCTCAACATAATATAAGAAATGAATATCTATGGTATATATAAGCATGCAAAAACAAATGATTTTGTTGTGTTTGATCCTGATTATCCTACCTCACGTTGAAATGACTCCAGTAGGTACTAAAATGCAGCGTGAAAACAAATATTTAACAAAAAGTCAACTTTTACCCTTTTTAAAGCCCTAAAAACAGTTTTTAAGTCTGAAGTTTATGGTGTAATAGGATACAAGAAATTTCTGACTCACAAACTCACTAATCCAAGAGGTAAATCTCTAAACACCAGATAACTTACTAACCCACCAGATAACTCACTAACTCAACAGATAACTCACTAACCCAGCATCTAACTCACTAATCCACCAGATAACTTACTAACCCGTTAGATAACTCACTAACCCACCAGATAACTCACTAACTCAACAGATAACTCACTAACCCAACATCTCACTCACTAATCCATCAGATAACTCACTAATCCATCAGATAACTCACTAACCCACCAGATAACTTACTAACCCATTGAATAACTCACTAACCCAGCATCTAACTCACTAATCCACCAGATAACTCACAAACCCATCAGATAACTCACTAACACACCACATAACTCACTAACACAGCAGCTAACTCACTATTACAGCAAATTTAATAACCCATCAGATAACTCACTAACCCATCAAACAACTCACTAACCCATCAAACAACTCACTAACCAATCAGCTAACTTACTATCCTATCAGATATCTCACTATCCTATCATCTAACTTGCTATCCCATCAGATACCTCACTATCCCATCAGCTAACTCACTAACCCACCAGCTAATTCACCAACACAGCAGCTAACTCCCTATCACAGCGAACTTAATAACCCAGCAGCTTACTCACTAACCCAATAGCTAACTCTCTAACCACCAGCTAACTCACTATTCCAGCTAATTTACTAACCCAACAACTAATCCACTAATCCACCAGATAACTCACTAACTTAGCAGATAAATCACTAATCCAGCAACTAACTCTCTAACCCAGTAGCTAACTCTCTAACCACAAGCTAACTCACTAACCCAGCAGCTAACTCACTAACCCAGAACCCAGTAGATAACTCTCTAACCACCAGCTAACTTACTAACCTAGTAGCTAACTCTCTAACCACCAGCAAACTCACTAACCCAGTAGATAACTCTCTAACCACCAGCTAACTCACTAACCCAGCATTTAACTCACTAATCAACCAGCTAACTCATTAACTCAGTAGATAACTCTCTAACCAGCAGCTAACTCACTAACCAGTAGCTAAATCTCTAACCAGCAGCTAACTCACTAAATGCAGCAACTTTATCACTCTCTAAGATGTTTCCTAGCTCTCAATAAATCATCAATTAGCCTGAGTTTCTCTGGTCCAAAAACACTGGTTTCCCCACTTCAGATAATCTAATGTGTAGGATCTATCTATCATTCATCTATCAGATTTTTTTATTTCTATCCAATTTCACAAACTTTAAAGTAACTTTTCCTGTACAGAACATTTTATATACATCTTTATTTCCAATCAATGGACCCCTCCTCCCTCCGATTTCATCAGAAAATACTTAATATGCTCCATATACGTTCATGATTTATCTCGGTCTCCAAATATGGGTCTACACCCCCTGTAAATGGTGGTGTAGGGAGATAATATAAATCGTTCTTTAAAACCAGTTTTTTATAATTAGCTGTTAAATGGATCCCAGGAATAAGATATGATGGGTATCCAGTTTTTAGACATGTGTATAATCTGTTTTAAAAAGTTAGATTTAGATAACGAAATAATTACAAGGAATTCTTTTCCCAGGGTTATAAATAAAACTAAAATTAAATTAAATACTTTAAAAATTTTTTAACTTTCATCTATTAGTATGTTGGTTTGTATGCTTTTCCCAAGAAGCGTTAGTATTGCTTAGGACAAAAATATTTTCATATAACCAATGAGGAGGCAAATCTGCGAATTTTCTTATTCTTGTTAAATGTATGAAAAGAAAGATAAAAGCAACAACTTTTAAAATTATTACTAGAAAGTGGAATCGCAAAATTTAAAAAAAATTAAAATTTGTTATTTTGAGTATCATGTTTTTTTTTGTATTATCTTATAATAAAATATAACACTGTTCAGTGCAGGCCCCTTGAAAGATCCAAAATGTACGGGCAAAAACTATGTTTCTCATGGTATATTATCTACATATGGAACCTATTTTAGTATCTAGTAGGAGCTAGATATCTTATATTGAATCTCAACGGGAGGAGGGTTATGCTTTAACATCACTTTTAGTACCGGGGGGGGGATGGTGAGAAACAGGGAGGGGGGATTTAATACAGTGAATATATTCCCCTGTCCAATATCTGTGAATGTGATTTGAAAATAATTGGGCAATATAGAACTACGGGGGGTGCAGAAGTCAAACTTCTTTCTAACTTTCTAATGAAAGGGGGGTAGGGGAGGGGGTTGCAATGTATAGAATACAAAACACTATTCATTACTAAAACGGCCCTTTGAAAAAGTTGAGAATAAATTTAAAATTTCCTTTTTTTGTTTCAAAATTTCATTTTCTCATAAAATTTCTGAATGAAATTATCTGTTTTTTGTTTTTGTTGGTTGTGTATTCTTCTGTTTGTTTAGAGTGGGAACATGTAGACTGTTTAGATTGATAGGGAGCAGGGAAGATGGATGGTAAATATATAATTTTAGGTAAACCCAGGAAAATATCGGAGGGGGGGGGGGCTTCAGATTTATCAGAACTAGATTAATCAGATATTTGACATATTAAATATTGAATGCATCCAAAAAGTATGCTCGAATTCTTTAAAGACTCAAAAAGAATTTGAAAAAAATGTGATGAAAGAGGTATTTAACATTTCATGCATGAGAATAAATAGATGAATCTAAAGCTTACAAATATGTGATATATTAAAGGATGATTGAAAAGATAAATAATTATGGTGGTAGGTGAATGAGTATGAAAGATGACTGAGTGGATAAATGTATGGAAGAATGACTAATGGATGAATGAGAAGATAAATGAGTATGAAAGATGACTGAGTGGATAAATGTATGGAAGAATGACTAATGGATAAATGAGAAGATAAATGAGTATGGTAGATGAATGAGTAAATGAAATTATTGAAGGATGAATAATGGATGAATGGATTCCATACTATTGAAGGATGAATGAACTAATAAGCATGGATGATGACTAGGCAACAGATGTTTATTTCGGGCTCCACCCTTAGTTTAGTTTCCAGGATCCTTTAAATCCACCCCCATTAATACAGGTTTAAAACCACTTAAAGGTTTACCCTATACTGGAGGTTTAAACTAACTTACATCATATTCGACCTCTGGAGGTTTGAACTAACTACAAACTTGAAGGTTTAGTACTTTACATGTCCTCGAGATTTGAACCGACTTTGTGGTATTTAAAATTAAGATTCAAAGTTGTTAAACAACTCTTGGTAAAGAAAAGTGTGCTGAATTGCACTTAGCATTTAAAAGTAAATGGATCAATGCATCAAAAGGTTTTTACAGAACTTAATCTCGCGATTAAATGTTTAATCTAAAGCCTAAATACTAATCCTTGTTCTAAAACACAGGGTCTGTAATACTAAAAGTATTTAAACCGGATAGACCCCCTCAATGTGATTCTATTAGATAACATTCCTGTAGGTGCAAGATACATTCTATAGATACAGCATTACAGATATATTTCATCACAAGAGGAAGGAGGGGGTCATTTTATAAGTTTTAGTTATTTAGAGATGGTACAATTGACACAGTTTAATGATATTTAAAGGAATAAATAATAAAACATAATTTGTGAATAAAGGTTAGGGTGGGTTGTTAAGAGGGTTAGGGTGAGTTGCTGAGAGGGTTAGGGTGGGTTGTTGAGAGGGTTAGGGTGGGTTCTTTAGAGGGTCAAGATAATGGATTTTTAGTTGAGGATAAGATAAATTTGGTAAAAAATGATGTTGGCCTTGTATACACTTAAAGGCAGGCAGTAGATTAAGGGGGGGGATTATGTTTTGTTTTCAAAGCTACCTATTTTGTTAAGCCCAGACTTTAATGGATACGTGTCGACATTGTAATTAATTGGTTTCCCAGTCATATAACGTGTAACTAAATACACCTTGGATTTTATACTCTATAAAAATACGAATACAATCTATTCATGATCGTTAACAGACACACACTATGTTTACACACACACACACACACACATATACAGAACTTAAACATTATTCATATAAATTGAGTCTTTGCCACAAGTTAAAATTTTTAAATCCCTTTATCTTTGCAACCTGATGATGTAAACCTTTGATGTAACTTCAAACTTAAATCCAAATGATTTCATAGTTTAAAATATCTTAAGTCTACGATATTGGGTTGGAAAGATTTAGTGATTAGAAAAACAGAGTTTGTGGCAAACTCAATTTCTTTAAGGATAAAAACAAACATACACACACATTTCTGACCCATATTTTCTCACTAAAATCATCCCAACCTGTATTGACACTCATCACACACTAACAAGAACAAGAACTTAAAATTTTCTAAATTCCAAAATTTCAGTTAAATACATATCAACTAGGGTCTGAAACACACTGTGTTAAAAGTATCTGTAGAAGAATCAAGTTTAGCCGGATAATTATCCTAATGTGTGGTAAAGAACTTGTACTCCTATATATGGTAACAATGTTACTAAGTATTTATAAATCTAACAAAAATTATACGAGAACAATCTTTAAGTGGGCAATGTAAAAAATGCTAAAATGATAATTTAAGTTGTACTTTCTGAAGTCTGAGCTTTTGAATCAGATTTAGTTAATCTACAACCCCCGATCTGATTTAATTAATCTACAACCCCCGATCAGATTTAGTTAATCTACAACCCCCGATCAGATTTAGTTAATCTACAACCCCCGATCAGATTTAGTTAATCTACAACCCCTGATCAGATTTAGTTAATCTACAACCCCCGATCAGATTTAGTTAATCTACAACCCCCGATCAGATTTAGTTAATCTACAACCCCCGATCATATTTAGTTAATCTACAACCCCCGATCAGATTTAGTTAATCTACAACCCCCGATCAGATTTAGTTAATCTACAACCCCCGATCAGATTTAGTTAATCTACAACCCCCGATCAGATATAGTTAATCTACAACCCCCGATCTCAACATCCACGACCACAGAAAACAAACATTTAGTGCTCATCCGTTTTAAAAACAGCTGACTGAGAGCAGCCTTTCTGTTGGTTTTGACCTTCGGAGATATCCGTCGAACCACAAAAATACGGATTAACGCTTTCTGAAGGATAAAATAACCAAAAGTTCCGGCCTATAAACAATTTATATTTAAAGATTAATTTATTCAGGAATTTAACCTTACAACCCAGTGATTTTAGTAAAAAAAAATAATAATTTTGAATCAGTTAATCTTCTGCACTGGTCAGATTGTTCTCCTATATTACTAAATTTTCTATACAACACATTCTTTTTGATAGATATCTTACAAAACTAACCTTTCGTTGAAGCTACTGGTTTTTGTATATCTCTGCAAAGATCCCTCCTCAATTATAAACCGCATTTTCTAAATAAAACAAGTTTCAATAATAACTCTTATACACCGCTAGAACATTTGGGATTATATTTAAGTGTTCTGAAGTGTTGAGCTCTGATGAAAATTAGTAAAATATTGGTTGAAATCTACCACTTGAAATTCTCAAGTACAAAATTGAACTAAAACGTCAGCCTCCAACAAAAATTTGACTAAGCACACTTTTGTGAACAAAGAAGTGGTTCGTAGAGAGGGAGGGGGGANGAGAGGGGGGGGAGACGGCAGGAGATTGAGGGGGACAAAGGTGCACTAATGTTAATTAAAGTTTATCCCAAGAAAACTTGCTTCATCAAAGAGTAAAGAAAGGCAGGTTTAGGATAGGGAGAGAGGGAAGAGGAGGGGGAGTTGAAATTGTGGGAGGTAGATTTCAGGAAAGTAGAAAGAAGAAGAAGGGAGGGGATCAGGAAAAAAATAGACTTTAAAAAATGCTAAAATAAAATCTAAGCCAGATTTACCACGTAAAGTATGTGGACTGGATTTACCTGGAAAGTATCTGGACAGGATTTACCTGGAATGTATCTGGGCTGGTATACCTGGAATGTGCTTGAACTGGATTTACCTGGAATGTATCTGGGCTGGATTTACCTGGAATGTATATGGACTGGATTTACCTGAAATGTATCTGGGCTGGGTTTACCTGGAATGTATCTGGGCTGAGTTTACCTGGAATGTATTTGGACCGGAATAACCTAGAAAGTAAATGGGCTTGATTTACCTGGAAAGTGTCAGGGCTGGATTTACCTGGAAGAATGATGCTGTAGGTGCTGGTGGTTGTCTCTGCAAGAGTATATTGATAGGACTAGGAACAGTATAACAGAGCTGGTTACTCCTACATTCATTAGACTCACAACATTCAGGATCCTGACAGTCAACCAGTCCATCTAGATAGATGAATAAATATAAATATAAATATATACGGATAGCTGGAAAAATAGATAGATAAAGTTAGCTGGTAAGAATACTCCAGGTTTATGTGTTTCCTTCAAAACAAATTAAAACCTTAAAAGTGCATTACTCTGAAATGTTTGTTATTTATCAGTTTCTAGTTCTACAATAAGAAGGGTATGAAAGAAAATACGAATCTCCTGGTACAGACATTAGATAAAATTCTGTAATAAAACTTAAGATGAAAAACAGTGTAGAATCTTCTTTAAAAATAGCAATTGCACTCTAAACACAAATACTTAATGTTAAAACAAGGCCCTATTTTGTCAAATTTTGACTCTGAATCAAGCGAGACAAGAATTTTTTAAATTAACTTTGAAAGAAGAGGAAAGGTGGTAGGTCTGTTGTAAGAGTGAAGGAATATGAGTGGGTTGGTAGGTAGGATCGAGTGGAATAAGAAATGAAAAAAAGCAAATGCATAGTTATATGATTTAAAGGTGGGTAGGTGTAGAAAATAACATAGGTAGAGAGGTAGATAGGTTAGGTAGGTAGGTAGAAAGGTAGATAGGGTAGGTAGGTAGAAAGGAAGATAGATACATAGGTAGGTAAAAAAGGAAGATAGCTAGGTAGATAGGTAGATAGGTAGCTAGATAGTTGGGAAGGTATAGTAAGTATACACATTGTATACATACTTTAAAGGAGAATAAGTAAATCATCTCCTGTCTATAGATAATATTCTCACACATTAGGTAATAACGGAGTATCTACTTATATTCATTGCTTTATCTAGTCATCTATCTTTCTAACCATATTCAGTGTTTATTTATCATAATACTACTACTACTACTATTAATAACAATAATAATAATAATATTAATAATAATGATCTGACCTGAATCATTATCTAATCCATCTCCGCATCTTGTCTCCAGCTGAGTAGAGCAATCCAACCCATCCCAACCCTCACTGCATTCACACTTCCAAGCTCCAATAAAATCAGTCCTAAACAGTTCCAGAGATGAAAATTCTAAATGACATGCCACAAACTCTAATAATTGTTCAAATCCTTCTGTAAAATCTAAGAGTCAAAGATTAAAATATAATAGGTTTTCACCTTCATCAAGATGTTAAGTTATAGAAGTTGTTTAGCGACCTAACTCAAATTCTATATTTAATGGGTAAGAATTTGAAAAAAAACCCTATTTTTTTATCAAATAAAGTCTAAAATAAAATAAAAATATATTGGAATTTGTCACAAAAAAATATTTCTCACTTGCACTCTCCATGTCCACTGCACTGTGATGGACATCCTTCTAGTGTACAGTGCTTCCCGTTCCACCCCCGTACACACAGACATGTACCGTTCTTGCATTGTCCATGGTATGTACAACGAGCATCACATTCCTTGTTCTGGCAGAGATCCCCAGACCATCCTAGGGTTATATAATATATTTTACTTTTCTCACGCTGATTCAACAGTTCGACCTTTGTCATAACAGCTTGTCTTTTTAGATCACAATTTGACCAATGAAAAGTATTTTTTATCTTTTTTCTTGTATTCTTTTTTGTCAGCGAATACGTTTTAAAAGTCAAATACGTAAGTTTGATGATTTTAGACCAAAACACGATAAAATGCAATCAGAAGTTGAACGCATCTCGCCCTGGTTAGTCCAGGGTGGTCTGTTTGTTTGTTTGAATCCAATAAACGTCAACACGTCTGAACTGATTGGGCCTAAATCTATTAGAGAACTTCACATAACCCAGGGGAGAATCCATCAAAGAATAATCCATGAAATATTTTATTTTTATGATATACGAATCACTTAATTAATCATCAATCAATTCAACTAAAATTCAATAAATAAAAATTGAAAATACTAATAGGAAAGATCATATTTAATTCTTTAAAATTTTGTTTAAAATCTTTTTATCAGGATAAGTGACATTCTTTTTCTAATGGTATTTAACGGCACAATATTAAATATTTTTCTAGAAAAAAAATAAGAAAAATTCTGTTTTAGAAACTTCCCTCTACGTCTATATAAAAAGTTGTAATCAAGGTTTGTATTTCCGTCTGCCTGTTTAAACGTCTGATCTGAGCTGAAAACTTTAGAATGAGATATCCTTAATCCAGAGTAATTAATCTGAGTATCCAATATACACACTTTTGATTTTCTTCTTAAACTGTTCTTACTTGGATAAAGAAGAAAAAATCAAAAACCTGTTTTTAAAATTAGAGAGTTCCTCCCGTTTCTGTATATTAATCTTAAATGGCGCGCCAAATTTCAAAGGAATTGAGTCTTTGCCACAAACTCCCATTTTCTAATCCTATCGAACCTGATGGTGTACACTTTTGATATTTCAAACTAAGATAGTTTGATGCAACAAAACTCATAGTTTGAAATATTTACGGTCTACGTTATTGGGCTGCAGAGATATAGGAATTAGAAAATCGGAGTTTGTGTCAAAGACTCAATTCCTTTTTCGGCTTCATATACACGACTCTGATTGGTTGAATTTTATACACTTTTTAGTATACAAGTACAAGATTAGGTTAGTCTCAATATCAAGCATTAATCTCGATATCCATAATTCTAAAGTTTTCAGCTCTGAACTCATAAATCCCTTGATTTGCGTCATATTTGTATTTTGGAAGTCGGCACAAAATATTTAAGTTTGGTTTAGATATTCTCAATTGAACTTGAGTTCTTATGTTTTTCATGTTTTTATGTTTTAATAAGCTGATGAGAGGGGATGGTGGTGTGTAAAAACAATTTGGAAATGGTAAAAACAAATATGGATAACATGCCTACATATTGGTAAATATTATTATTCAACTCTGCAACTGAAACAATATTTATTTAATATTTATACTTCTGTATTCCAAGTTTGATATTGAATTTCCAACAGGAGAATATTCCTTCCACTTTAATAAAATCTCAGTGCATGTTTAAATGGCGCTTTTTCTGACAGGCAGTTGAAATAAAATCCTTTTATTACATAATATAATCTTGAACTTTATTTTCACTGACTTTAAACTTTTCTGCACATCAAGTTTCATTTGTGCATAAAAGGGGACACACTTGGGGGCAGCAGCCGGAATATAATATATTATCAAAAACAGGTTCTAGGATATAAAATATTATTAAACTAGGTTCGGAATATAATATATTATCAAAACAAGGTTCCAGGATATAAAATATTATTAAACTAGGTTCCGGAAAATAATATATTATTAAAGCCAGGTTCCAGGATATAAAATATTATTAAACTAGGTTCCGGAATATAATATATTATATCAAAACCAGGTTCCAGGATATAAAATATTATTAAACTAGGTTCGGAATATAATATATTATCAAAACCAGGTTCCAGGTTATAAAATATTATTAAACTAGGTTCGGAATATAATAGATTATCAAAACCAGGTTCCAGGATATAAAATATTATCAAGCTAGGTTCCAGGACATAAAATATTCTGAAACCTGGTGCCGGGACAAAAAATATTCTTAAACCAGGTTCTGAGATATAAAGTTTATGAAGGCCAGGTTTCGGGATATAAAATATTTTAAAACCATTTTCAGTTTGATTTGTAGCAGCATTTGTTCCATTTCCATGGGTTAATATTTTCCCAAAATCAACCCTTGCAGAAAATTGTTTGAATTTTCTCAGTTCAGGAGTAAATAGAGAAATTTTCTCTCTCTCTCTCTCTCTCTCTACACTTAGAACTAGGAATAGAATTTTCTCTATTAGAACCCGGAGAAAGGCATTGCAGTGGAACCCTGGCGGAATACTTAATATCATCCACAGGGGTAACCATACACCAACATCCAAATAGAGTTTTACAATATTAGAAGTTTAGCATACAAATACAATCTTGTTAAAGGAAACCATCCCAGAAACAAATTGTATTTGATCCAGCGTAACATTAAAACTATCCTAACAGGTATTTAGATAAAATTCTTCAGAAAAATCTGTCCAGTTTCATCCCAGCTGACAGGAACTAAAGCTGTCCAGTTTCATCCCAGTCGACAGGAACTAAATCTGTCCAGTTTCATCCCAGCTGACAGGAACTAAATCTGTCCAGTTTCATCCCATCCGATGGAACTTAATCTGCCCAGTTTCAACCCAGACGACGGAACTAAATCTGTCCAGTTTCATCCCAGCTGACAGGAACTAAATCTGTCCAGTTTCATCCCATCCGATGGAACTTAATCTGCCCAGTTTCAACCCAGACGACGGAACTAAATCTGTCCAGTTTCATCCCAGAAGACGGAAATAAATCTAGACGACGGAACTAAATCTGTCCGGTTTCATCACAGACGACGGAACTAAATCTCTTCGGTTTCATCTCAGACGACGAAAATAAATCTGTCCAGTTTCATCCCAGACGACGGAAATAAATCTGTCCGGTTTCATCCCAGCTGACAGTACTAAATCTGTCCTGTTTCATCACAGACGACGGAACTAAATCTGTCCAGTATCATCCCAAACGACGGAACAAAATCTGTTAGGTTTCATCCCAGACGACGGAACTAAATCTGTCCTGTTTCATCACAGACGCCGGAACTTAATCTCTTCGGTTTCATCACAGACGACAAAACTAAATCTGTTAGGTTACATCCCAGACGCCGGAACTAAATCTCTTCGGTTTCATCACAGACGCCGGAACTAAATCTCTTCGGTTTCATCACAGACGATGAAACTAAATCTGTTAGGTTTCATCCCAGACGACGGAACTAAATCTGTCCTGTTTCATTCCAGACGACGGAAGTAAATCTCTTCGGTTTCATCCCAGACGACGAAACTAAATCTGTCTGGTTTTCTCCCAACCGACGGAACTAAATCTATCCGGTTTCATTCCAGACGACGAAACTAAATCTTTCCAGTTTCATTCCACCCGACGGAACTAAATCTGTTCGGTTTCATCACAGACGACGGTACTTTATTCCTTTCCTCAAAGGGGAACAAATGGACAAGAGTAGTAAAGTAGAACAAAAATAGTAAATGGGTTCAGGTTTTATCCAATACAATATGCTTACTAGGATTAATCTAGTAGGAGCTATCTCAAACTTTGTTCATCTAAAACTTAAACAGAAGAGGTTTGAGGAGGGAAGTGTAGGGAAAAGCTACTTCTCTACCCTATCTATACAACTACTAATGGAAAAGTTCAATCTGGGTTGTACTGAACGAGAAGACATGAAGACAGGATATTTTATTTTCAAAGAGGCAATTGTAGTTTTTATCGTTTAGCCTCAGACATTAAAGATATAAACAGCTTGTCTAGAGGTTCATTTCTTCAGCTTCAAGGTTAGGATTTCATTACAAGGACTTATCCTAACTACCTAGTTCTTAGATAATAAACTCACTTTCTCCGGAGGTGGAATCTTAAAAGTTAAGATCAATTTTAAACCGACTTTAAAGGCAATTATTGAGCAAGTCAAGCTTAAGCTCTGAACCGGGCAAAATAAAGTAATATCAGTTTAAACTTTCTCACGTTTTAAAAGAGAGCCTATTAAATGAAAGGAACGGACCTCACACTAATCCTTATATATTTTGCAACTTAATGTGGTAGACCTTATAAATTATTCACAGCTGCATCAGGTTTTAAAAATTAGAAAATTTAGAGGTGTGACGAGTATTCAGTTTCTTTCTAAAGCAATGTTGCAATTGTCTTGGCAAACTTTGTACCTTGATTAACATAATAAAACTGAACTCATTTTACAATAAATTAAGTTATAAATTATACTGCATAAATCTGTTTAAAAAGCCTAGTTGTATAATGTTAATCAACCCACCTTACCTTGCATGTAAGTTTATAATATTTCTTCTTTAATTCTACCTTTCCATTCAATTTAAAAGGGTAAAACTTTTTAATTACATTTAAAACTGGAATTAGTTATTTAAAAGTTTCTTAATTCTTTACTAGTTTTTTCCCCCTGGACTATTGTAGAAATATAAGAAAATGGATGGATACAAAAATACAATATCTTTTTTTACAATAGTTTTCTTTCATGGCAGTGTAAAATGTCTTAATGAAACTAACTTTCATTATTGTAATTTAGGCAGTTATTCTTCTCTAAATATTCTTCTTTGATTTGCATAATTGGTTTTGAGATCAGCAATTTAAATTCACTTTTATACTTCAAAACTGTTTCCCTTCAAGCCATCTAAAGGAAGGATTATTAAAGATAATTTGAATAAAAATATAAAACTCAAATAGAATTTTATAGTTTTTAAGCCATATAAAATGAAAAAGTTCTAGCAGGATTTGCCATACATCTAGTTAGTTTAAATTCTCTTAAACTCGATCCTCTAAAAGTTTGTTTTCCAGTACGAAAGGTTTAACTGAAAGACCAACTTCAATAATAAAATTAACACTTAAAATCAGCAGCAAATTCAATTTTACAATTTCAGCTACAGAGTTTTAATAAATGCAGTTACCAAGGGGGTTTAACATTCAAAACCAAAACTTCCTCCATATTTTCCACAAAATAAAAATATTTCCAGAGGTTTCTTTAATCTTAATACTTATGTCTCCTGCAGCTTGAAAGGGGATTCTTTTCTATTTTGTTTGGATTAATGTTGTTTTACTCTGGTAGTAATGGTGTATAGTCCAGTACCATTCACTAGAAAACCAATTAAAAGAATTACACTATGCTAAGGGATAAAAGGAGACTTCAATTAGACCCAGTGTGACCCGATTTATTTATTTATTTCAGCTTCTTGTTTAAAGGTACTGTAAAGGAAAAATGAAAGGGGGTATAGGATGAAACCTGAGAATCTCAGGCGTTAAACGATACATATCTGATGTTCCTGTCTCGAGAAATTAATATAAAACTGTGTCAAATTATACGATATATGCAATTTTGTATAAAAGTTGTAGTATAAAACAGATCATATTCCACAAATGCGAAACCAATCTGAAAACGACGATATCCCACAGAAACCTGAGAATCTCAGGTTTGCTCCTGTTATAATCATTTAATTTTTATTTTGCATTTTTATAGATATAATTACGTCACCCTAACTTCAGCCAATGGCAGTACAGTATACTGGTCACGTGATCTCCGTCTGTATCACGTGACCAGTATACTGCACTCTTATTAGTGGAAGTTCTTGTGACGTAATACGGACTTTTAAATAATACTATCAATTATATATACATTAAAAATGCAAAATAAAAAAAATTATAATGGAAGAAAATCTGAGATTCTCAGGTTTCTGTGGGATATAATTGTTTTCAGATTGTTTGCGTATTCACTGAATATGATCTGTTTAAACCTACTACTTTTATATAAAATTTCATATATATAGAAATAGATTTTGGTATAATTTTGACACAGTTCTATATTTATTTCTCGAGACAGGAACATTAGACAGAAGATGTCTTATATGTATCATTCAACGCCTGAGATTCTGAGGTTTCATCCTATACCCCCTTTAATTTTTCCTTTACAGTCCCTTTAAGTTTTTAGACTGATGTACAGAGGAGCGCCTTATAACAATATTTATAAAAGGAATTTCTTCTCCATGGTGTTTACAGTCCACTGAATTGGCACAAAGGAACTGATATTTTTTGTATATAACAGGATAACTAAACCATATATACACACACAGTCTAACAGTCGTAAACTGCAAAAGGTGTTTTTTTTTTACTTGTTACATAATGATATCATTTTTTTAGCTATTTTCTCAAAAATTCATTAAAAACACATACAAATTCTTCATTATATTGGTTCATTATCAAAAAATTGGTTAAATTTGTGAATTGACATGGGTTGCCGACCAATAAAAAGAAAAAAAGGACTTAGTGAACCACATGTATATAATCTAGGTTTAATTCTGCCCAGAGTGTTCAATAGATCACAACAAAGGATTTCTTCTGTTAAAAGAGATCAAAGTTAAAGTTTGCTATAAAATCATCTTTAAGGAATTGAGTCTTTGTCACAAACTCTGATTTTGAAGTCTCTTTATCTCTGAATTTGTGGCAAAGACTTAATTCCTTTCTGCTCTATATTTGTGGAGAAGGAATAAGAATCTTTTACTATTTATATTCCCCTTAAAGGTTGTTAAACCAGAACAAATGTTTATAATACCAACTAACAACCAAACCTTGTTAAGTTTACAACCTTAAAATTGCTTTATGTTTGGGGTAGAATTGAGCAAAATGGCCTTAGAACAGTTTAGGATGCAAGCTCTATCACTGATCACTTTTATGTTTGATGGAAAGTATTAGAATTTGCAGAATTGGACTGAGTTAACTCCCACTGGCAATTCCTTCAATTTGCTAGAATACAAATGCATTTATGTTTGCATCAAAGTCCCGTGTTCGGGAAGAATTTCCAATAAAAGCTTAAACTACACTAATTAAATCTTTAAGGAACAGGTGTGTGGGCCAAAGACAGAGAAAACCAGAGGGGGGTGTAGGCAGGGTCGTAAATAAATCACAGTTGAGCTGTATAAAAGTAATGAAGGGCAAAATATCTCATTTTCTCGTGTTTTTTAGAAATAAAAGCATTTTGCCAGCGTTTACCCAATCAGTAAAATTGTTTAGATCCAATTTTCTTGAAAATAAGAATAGGATTCAGAATGGAATCAAAAATTAAGTAAATGAATTTTTTTAAAATTTTAAAATTACAGTCCCCTTGATAAATCTAAAAAAAACTAACCCCCCCCCCCCTTCCATCTTCAGAACTATTGTCTTTCCCTAAATACTGTTTTTTTCTTCATAAATGAGAGTTTGGGATTCAGTTGTTTTGTAATATGAATGTCTTTGGTGAAAATAATTCATTAGACGTTTTGATTAAATATCTTGACGAATGTTATTTTCATCCTATCCTAAAGATTGTTTAAAGAAAACGTTTTCTAGAAAAGTTGTTTAAACCCTGTCTAGTTTAGCTGAATAGCAGATTTTTTGCTGATAAACCACAGAAAATGTTGTAAAACTTGAAGTTCATTTAGGATTAAAGATTAGGACAGTCAGGAGTTGAGAACTTTTTATAAAATCTCAGGGTTTTAAATCTCAAAGAAGTGGTTCTTAATTTTAATAGATTTGGGGAATCAATGTCTAATTGGACATTATCTTGATACTTTTTACTCAAATTTTTCCCCCAAAATTCAGTAAAAAACTAACTTTTTTTTACATCTTTAACTATCCAGAAACCTTCCCTGGTGTCATGGGAGTTGCAATAAAATTTGTTGGTCCAATCGGTTCAGCCGTTATGACGTTTATTGGATATAGACAGACAGATGAGGAAAGTATATATAGATATATTTATCTAGATTTAAAGAGTTTAATATGAATATTTTAGAAAGATGTAATTAATCGATTCTTTGATTAAAACAAGACATAATTGAGTTCTAAAATCTGCTACATTTGGTAAAAAAAATACATAAAAAATCTCCAGATATAAATTTTCAATAATGTGATACAATGGTTAAAAGAGAACACTTGTGTAACCTATAAACCTACCGAGTAAATCAATTTACAAGATGAAAGATACGAAGAATAGTTCTACAGAAAATTATTAATCATTTTGGGACATAATTATTTTCTAGGCTATACTAATTGATTAAGTTTGTCTGGTAAATTAGTAATTAATTAAAAGAATTCTGGAGGAATGAAACTTACTTGCAATTAATTATTATTCTGTGAATACTTTTTGCTCAAGTTGCAATAACTTATTTAAATAAAAACAAATAATTTTTATATTTTTCATAGCAAATAAACAAAATTTTGCAATCCAGCAGAGCAGGAAGTTATAGGTTAAAAATAAAAACATTTAAAAACAATTTAAACAAATAAGAAAAAACATGAAGAAAAAGAACAAAGCACCAATATTGCAAATAACCATTTTCAGAAAGTCCAGAATAAAAGAAGCTCCAAAAATACCTTTTTCGCAGACACACTCCATATTTTCACAGGCTCCATGCTGACCACAGTTGATACTGCACTCCCTTACTCCACAATCTACTCCAGTCCATCCCTCCTCACACACACAGCTCTTAAATTATTTTTAATTAAAAATAAATAAATAAATCCAAGTTAAATAATGAGAAAAAATTGGAATTTTTGACTAGGTAAATATCAAAGGAACATTAGCTTCCTTGAATAAATATCAAGTAATTAAAATGTGTTCATGCTTTTGGGATTTATTTATTTTATGATATAAGATACAGTATACAAGTGTGTAAAACTTATTTGGGATTTATATTCCACTTTTATTTATTTTATGATATAAGATACAGTATACAAGTGTGTAAAACTTATTTGGGATTTATAGTCCGCTTTTATTAATTTTATGATATAAGATACAGTATACAAGTGTGTAAAACTTATTTGGGATTTATATTCCACTTTTATTTATTTTATGATATAAGATACAGTATACAAGTGTGTAAAACTTATTTGGGATTTAAAGTCCACTTTTATTTATTTTATGATATAAGATACAGTATACAAGTGTGTAAAACTTATTTGGGATTTATAGTCCACTTTTATTTATTTTATGATATAAGATACAGTATACAAGTGTGTAAAACTTATTTTTCTGTAATAAACAACTTATTTAATCTCAGTATTCAATATTCAGTATTCAGTATGTATTTCAAAGAAGATAAGATTCTTCCTTTAGAAAACTTTTAAAAAATAAGTTAATCTGTGAATATATTGGAACCAAGAGAATATATTTGAATTGAAATTTAAACTGAAAAGGTTGAATTCTCCTAGAAATTCGTTATCTCCAGTCACAGGGGCAGATCAAAAAAAAATAAAATGAAAATATCATTTTCCAACACAATTTTTTTTTGATCAAAACAAAAAGAAAAATTATTTTGAAAAAAGTTCTGAATTTTTTTTTACAATATTTCTTCGTTAGAAAGGTTTCCAATACTGGAATCCACTGGTCCTATCTCAGATTTTGATACATAAAGAGCTGACTATCATTATTAGGTTAGAATCTATCTTCTAGCTTGGGAAAATCACTTATCAAGAGCACACTAAAATGTTTCTCAGAAAAAAATCATTTTAATTTTTTTTTATATTTTGTTTGTTGAGATGCTTGGTTTAAATTTCAGTAATACCAAAATTAATTAGCATAAGTAGAGTCACAAAATTGCTGTGTGAAAGAAATTTTTGAACTGTTCTATAAAAACTTGATCTGAATGCTACAAAAGAAACTTGGGTTTCAGATACAAATCTATTTTTTATTACCTGTGTATTTAGATCAAAAGTCCCCTGTGGGGAACAGGAAGGCAGGCAGCTGGTAGCAGATGGGTCGACTGCGCTGCAGGTAGTTCCAACCCAGCCTCGTTTACAAATACACTGACCGGATACACAGAAACCATTCTCAGAGCAGGTCGGATCAGGACAATCAGCTTAACAAACAAATTAGGTTCAGTTAAATAATATATTTTTTGGAATAAACCCTTTTAATGCCGATTTTAAAATTTTTTTATAAAAATATATACTCCCGACATATTATATTTTGTATTCATATATTGTGTAAATTTAGTCTTTATTTCATTGATCATATCTCTTAAAATATTAATTTAATTCATCTCTTTAGTTAGCTAAACAACTACACAACAATAACATTTAGAGACAGTAAATGCCAGATAAATGACAAATATGAAAACAATATTATTTAGAACAACTGTTCGGTTTTAAACCACAAATCTTACAGGCTCCAGAAAATTATTTTTTTTATGATATAGGATTTGAGGCATGATTGAGCGAACAACTTTGTGTTGAACCAACATTATCTCAGTGCATGATTTGATATAGCCAAAAAGATGAATTAAAGGAAAAAAGTTTAATTCCAGATAATCTACAGGAATATTTCAAAACTGTGGAGTATAAAGATGACAGTAAGACTCAAGTTATGATTTTAAATAATCCAATAAATATAATTCACAGCAATTGTGCAGTATACACAGACCCATATCACAAGTTGATTTTTAGAATCTAAGAAAGTGTATTTCTAAAAGTTCCAAGCAAGCATTGTTTTTGACGTATATTTAAAATCTATCAGTATTCCAAACTTGTTGATGGATTTCTAGTTACAAAGGATTTTTTAATCCCTTTATCTTTGGAATCCAATGTTGTAGACCTTAGATAATTCAAACTATGAACGCTGTTAGATCTAATAATACAAGTTTAAAATAGAAAAAGTTTACATCATCAGGTTGCAAAGATACAGGAATTATAAAATTTTATTTTGTGGTAAAGACTCAGTTTCTTAAAAAGGAATTTAAATTTTTTTTTTTAAATTTGTTTTAAATATTCTTCTTAAATATTTAGACGAAATCCATGTCTGTTCAACATAGTTTTCAATATAGTATCCAAAACTTAGATTGAAAGGATTTATGATTGATTGATTGATTGAAGTTTTACTGATTCTTCTTTATTATAGACTCTTTGCTGGATCCTTTAAACTCAGCTGTTTCCAACCTTCATCTCCTGGGTTGTGGAAAACAAAAGGATTAAACTGTCAAAATTTTTCACGTCTTTTAGGCAGTAGAATGACAAATTCTTTATTTTGTAATGGTGGCTTGAAGAAAAGGCAATTTCAGAGAGAGGGCAAAGAACCAAAGAAATTTTTACAAATCTGGAAAGAAACCGCCATTTCATAATAGAATGAGACTTCATACAATGTAGTTTTCTAAATCTTAACAAAAAAAATGGATCATATTTTCAATCTAATATACAAATCTTTGACACAATATTCACAAAGAACAAAAAATTAGCTATTAGATTAGATTTAAAGATTTTATAAGAAATTTATTTTATCCATGAGAAAACACCAAAAATCTGCAATATTATTTAGATTTATAAATTTTGTTGAGAAATGTGAATGCAGTGTATTCTAGATACTGTAGGGGAGTTTCATCAGTTTAGCAAATATTTAATCCTAACCTCTACCAGCACTGTGCTACAGATTTAGTCCAGATTAGAATGTTTCCAACTAGAATTAAACCAAAGGTTGGGACTTTCAGTTGGAAATTTTTTATCTTGATCGGACAGGGGTCATGTGAGGTCCTAGAATTGTTTTAGCTGCATCGGTTAAAATAATCTATCAGTCTTATTAATTTTTTAGCAACAAAAACCAAGAGTCAATACATATATGAATTAATAGGACCCCCCCCCCTTGATACAGAATTAGATTAAAATATATCGGACCAGCAAGCACTGGCTTCAGATTATAATAGTTAACTATGAAAACTAAACTGAAGAATATAGAAGAATCAAGCTAAGAATAGAAATGTCTGTTTTCTGAGTTTCCAACTTGCCAGTTCTCATTTGAATTCTCCAACAATAGTTAAATTACTCTGAATTTGAAGGTAAGGAGTTAAAATTGTAATGGGGAGGAAGGGACTGAAGTGAACTTCAAAGATAAAATATTCCTGAACAGTTTAAGGCTTCTTATATGATAAAAAGATGAAAAAGGAATGTAATAGGATTGAGATGAACGTGAATAAAAAGAAGAAATGTATTTGTATTCTGTGGGAATACTCCATGATAAATAAAGAATTCAGAAAAGCACAAGTGTAAAATAAGCTTCGGCTGGAAATGGTGTGTAATACTCTTACAATTTATTTCAACAATATAAATTCTTTCAAAAGATTTATAATTTATTGAAGTAAATACTAAAATATGCTATAAATTTTACTCAATTTTTTTAGAACAAAGGATATGTGATTGTGCAGTTTATTGAAAAAGTTTAAACTAAATTTGTTTGAAGACAGATATTTTTCAAAGTCATTGTATGTAGCATTAAAGTTTATATTACTAGAAAGCCAAGTCAAGTTGACATTCTCATCTAGAAAGACAAATTAGACTCAATTCATTTATAAGATTTGCATGACAAAAAGACTATTCAGAACTCTGTTGAGAATTGTTGAATGGCGAGGTTTTGAATAGTTGGATTAAAACATAATAAATTCTTTAAATCTACAAAGGGAAGATAATTTCAATGTTTATTAAACGTTCTTTCTCTGCAAACTTTACATCAGAGACTTAAAGATAAGAATAACCAGGACAAAATTATTTTAATTCTTCAGTATTCAAAGGAAATGAGTTTTTGCTGCAAACTCAATTTTTTTTATCCCTATATCTTTGCAACCCCAGATTGTAGACCTTTGATATTTCAAACTTTGAATTTTGTTAGAACAAAAAGTCTAAGTTTGAAATATCAAAGGTTTATGCCATTAGGTTGCAAAGAATTGTGGATTAGAAAATTAAAATTTGTGAGTAAAACTTATTTTCTTTAGAAATTTATTTTCCATAAGGAATTTAGGTTTTGCCACAAACTCAAATTTGCTAATCCCCATATCTTAGCTATCTGATGGTGAAAACCTTGGATATTTCAAGCTTAGATTATTTTACCTAACATAATTCATAGTTTAAAATATCTAAGGTCTACGACATTGGGTTGCCAAGATGTAGTGATTAGAAAATCAGAGTTAGTGGCAAAGACTCAATTTCATTGTGAGATAAAAGGAGAAACGTGACTTTAATTGAACCTTTTTTTAAATCTCCTTTTTCCGTGAAAGAAGAACCTTGACATTTTTTTAAATTTCTATATATCCAAACTATATGGGTTTGAAGTGAAACTATTAAATCTCTGCACTTGATAAAATATAAAACTATGAAAGGTTTTTATGCTTAACTTTGGACAGAAATCCTTTTAATATAATTTTTCAGAAGGGATAATAGTTCTGTAAAATATATTTCCTTGTCCATTAAACAGTAATATTCTCTTCATAAGCTTCAGCTTATCTACAGTCCTATAGGGTATATATGCAATTCAATAAAAACAAAAAATAACTTTGTGGCAGCTTAAAAAATATTTATATAAAACATAATCATTAAAATTTAAAATTTTTACATTTGCCAAAAAAATGATTTTCCTACTTTTAATGAAACAGATTTAAAAGATCAAATTATGTGTTGCTGTACTAAAATTCAGTTGTTTTTTTTGCTTTAATCTATGTTTTTATGCCTGAAAATATTTTCTCAAAGTTCTAGCCTAAATTTGTTCCAGCCTGCATACTATTAATAATGCAGGAATTTATAATAAGAAAGATTATTCCTAACGGGGCTTCCTAATCCCATAATATATCCAGAAAATTAGAAAAGAAAATATGCATTAATATTTAAAAATGAAAATATGAAAATTCAAATCTTGTTTCTAAATAAAATTCGGAATTTACATTATAATCTTTGGCTGGAAACATAAAAGAAGTTTGCTATTCTTTTTATATAAAGGATATATTGGATATATCCTATACAAAGAAAGATTTAATCTATGGATTTATAAATTTAACCCCATATCAGGATTAAGCTAAAATATTTTAAAATAAAATTGTGTTTTTTGTTCTCCTAAATTTTATTAATTATTAAAATCGAATATTGTAAATCTAACATAATACACTTTTCCCTGTAGACTTAATTCTAAAGTACAATAAAAAAATATATTTATAAGGAAAATTTTTTTTTTAACGTTCTTACATTCTGATATTTTAATTTTAAAACTTACTTTAAACATATACAAACATTATTTTATGTGTAGAGTGTTGAAAAGTTTAGAAACTTGTCCAAGAACCCAGGTTACAATATTGCTGTGAATTGGCGCTACTAAGATATTACTCATGTTGTGATAATGAATACAAATCCTGTCCTCAATGCCAGGGAATAGTATTATTCAACATTAAGATTGGTTTAAACGGATTTACATTAATTTGCATGAAGATTGGCACAGACGAGGAATAGTTGTATCCCCCCTCCCCCCCTGGTAAACATGGAACTAAGTTTAAGGTATGAGACTCAACATTAAACCAAGTTTGAACCATCAGCCCTGCTCCCACTTTCAAATTAGTTTAGAGTACTTGAAAACCAGAAATTATATCATACTATATTTTATATTTTTTTTTACAAAAACGTTGGCAAGTCTAACATCTCTATTTCAGATAAAAACCATTATTTTTATGACATTTCACTGGAAAATAACAGTGATTCTGCAGAATTAGACCAATAAAATGTTAAACCAAAAATATCAAGTTTAAAATGAGGAAATTTAGAAAGTGCTCGATCTAATCTGATCTAAATGAATTAGATCAATCTTCCCCCTGGATCCGATACTCCTACACTATCCAACAATTTGTTATCTGTCTTCTAAACCTTTCAACTAGGGTTGTTATTCATTCTTTAAACGATCGAAAATACTTTCATTCTTCGTTTCGTGTTTAGAAAAAAACGTTAGTTTTGAAATTTGTTTTGAACTTGCTAATGACTCTGAGTTTTATGAAAATTAATTTCAATTTTTTATTTAGGAAGATAAGTCTATGAAAGTTGTTATAATGTTTTTTTTTCAAGAGAAATAACCTGAATGTTTCTGATCTAAGGACTTACCGACCAAAAAATAAATTTTGTCTTAAAAAGGTCGTTAACTATCGTCACAAATTAAAAACAACCTACTTTTGTTAACGCAACGACGAAATTTTCAAAACGACCGTTTTTACAAACGATGGTTTTCAAAAACGACCGTTTGCTTTGTGGCTCTTAAAACGAAACGATCGTTTTTCAAAAAAGTGAAAACGATCCATCCCTACTTCCATCCCTACTTCCAACCTATCGATATATGTGTAAATACATCAATCGTTTGTATTCTCATCCTCCTCAAAGAAATATTTTTTTTCAAGTCAGGATTTAGTTTTAACATGAATTTGAATAAAATATAAAAAGAAACGAGAATCATCCATCATAAAGTTTTAAATAATTGTTGTACTTTTTCTTACATGTCTTGGTCTAGAAGACCTATAACTAGGGATGCTACAGTGAGACCCATAAAACTGTGGAATGTCTTGATCTAAAACAACTATAACTAGGGATGCTACAGTGAGACCCATAAAACTGTGGAATATCTTGATCTAAAAGACCTTTAACATGAAAGGAGTTGAGTTTCTCCCACAAACTCTGATTTTCTAATCTCTATATCTTTGTAACCCAATGTCGTAGACCTTAGATATTTCAAACTATTAATACTTACAGAATAATTAAACTAAGTTTGAAATATTAAAGGTTTGCACCATAAAATTACAAAGATATTGGAATCAGAGGACTTTAAATAGTGGCAAAAACTCAATTCCTTTAGCAATTGTACACTGTACATTGTTTCTCAAGCTTAAGTTAATACTATTTGATTTATAACAACATTAAGAACAAATAAAATAACTTAAATGTCGTCTTATTTTTCTACAGATTTATGAGTCCTACTGTATTATAACTAGATGACTGTATGAGTAGTTTTCTACCCTTTACCCAGCTCTAAAGTTGGCAATGTCTAAGAAAAGGTCAAGTCAAATCCAACCCCTCATTAACAAACAATATCTCTTTCAACTTAGATCAACTCAGTCAGCCATATACTCAATCTTAATTAAGATGTGACAATTTTTCTTAATTTCTTGAAACATTTGAGTCTGTAGCTTCAATGTTTTTGCTTTCTATATATCTAGAATCTGCATAGTTAGATCTCAAGGTATATTTTTCTACTTGTTTTTTTATTTGTAAATCTTCGTGACAGAAACAATCTCAAGAACTGACGAGGATCAACCCAGACCGAAATATATTTTTCAATAAATGTGGAACTAACATCTACTTTTTTTACTCTACAGAGGTATGGTCCATCACCATCACCGAATTTTAAAAATAATCTAGTTTTGTTTTCAGTTACAGTTATAAATTCCAGTAGAAATATTGCAAATAAAGACGTTTGTAGAGTAAACATCGGAAATTTTTAAAGTTCACATACTTCATTTTAATTTATAAAATTCATTGTGCCCCCCCCCCCTCTCATGAACACATTTTCCAGACCTTCCAGCCGATAGTAGTGGATAGTGAGAAAAATGGATTTCATATAAGAATCTGAAATCCAAAATAACTCAGAAAATATCTAATTCAATAAAGTAGAGAAGAGAGAGGGGGGAAACTCCTGCCAGCAAGGAACACTAAGATAAATGGAAACATTGATTTGTATAAAAAGAATGAAGAAAACTAGAGAATTCGGGAAACAAGCCGAGGGCAGAAGTTAATAGATAAACAATGATTCGGTTAGTTAAATTCAAGCAAACATGCTAGAAAGTGTCTCGTAAAAATAAAAAGACATTCATGAATAACATCTAAGCTTAGACAGTTTTAAAAAGGAAAATACTACTTTTACTACAGAAATTACTATTCTTTTATGTTGCAAAATTGTAAAAAGAACTCGTAATTTAAAATGTCGTAATTCTTTGTTTGATTATGAAGAATTTTCGAATTATTGGATATTTTGTAAAAAAGAAGTATACCTTTAATAGTGGACATTTTGTGCATTATCTGCAACCGGTACTAAACTTCTTCATGTACAATGTTATACTTGTACATGTTCGACGCGTCTTACACAACTTTGACTTCTAGTTAAAGATGTGGTGTACATAAGCTTGTACGTACACCTCAATATGTCTATGGACTACGAATGTATTTTTATCTGACATTTATCAGTCTAACATATTATCGTTGTGGATACTTTTGTTAAAAATCTACAAGATGGTTATTAGTCGCCACAAACACTAATTTTATTATCGCATATCTTTGCATCTATTTCAAATTAAAATTTCTGTAGATCAAATAGTCTGAATTACTAAAAGTGTACACCAAAAAGTTGCTGAGATATAGGTTTTTTTTTAAAGTTAGAAGTTGTCGCGATTGTTGAAAGAAAATCCGAGAAATCTACATGAGGGGGAGTAAAATAAATTAACTAACCTTCCTGGCAGAATTCTCCTTTATATCCTTTCATACAGGCACATACACCATCCTCACATTTACCATGCCCACTACAATCAGGCTCCTAAATATAAACAAATAAATAAATAATAATGCATTTAAATTAACAGAAAAATAATAAATACCAAATAGATTAACAAGAACAAAAGATGGCAACGTAGAACTTGTACACTTTCAGTACAGCTGTATTCTGACGTCACAAGTTTCAATAGTTTTATGTGTCCGACAAAATTATTAATAATAGTGATAATGAAGTGCTTATCTTACAGTGAAATAATGCAATTTTTGTTTTTTATTTTTTGTTTTTACACTTTTTTATTTAATCATGTCAACAAATATGAGAAAATGTTGTCTTCCTTGTTATATTTGACACTTGTGACGTCATGTATAATTGGTCCATTTCTCTGTTGCCGGCCACCTATTGTACTAATAATAACTACGAATGACGGATACAAGTATTTTAAAAAAGAAAAATTTGAAAATGTTATTTTGAAAGGGGGATTTGGGGAAAAATTATTTCATTTTTTTTCATATAGAAAAGTTAAGAAATTTTTATCATCGATCTTTACATTAAACTTTTGGTTGAAATCTTTAAATAGGGGATTCCTAAATGCAAGGTACACACTCCCTTAAATCGTAATCAGCAAAGTAACTTTATTACGGCGAACTGTAGAGTGTACTATTTTGATGTTCTGCAGTCCAACAGTTAGCAACTAAATGCCCTTATTTGTAAAATCTAGTCTAACCCAGCATTACTAAAGCTTATCTAATGAAATATGGTTCTTAACTCGGGATGCGGGCATGAAACATTCTCAAGATGGTATTCTCTGAATACTGGTAAAATTAAATAATTTCTAGATTAAACCAGAGTTTCCAGAGTTTTGTGAAACAAGCGGCCTTGTTGCATCAATTCTCGTAATCAAGAAAAGTAATTTAAAGAAAAACTTTTCTGCAAAAGAAGGGATTTGTTCTAGTTCAGGAAAATGGTTTCTAACTCCCTAATTATCGTTAGAAGAGCTCTATGTAGTCAATGATTGGCTAATACAGCTGTTAAGACAGCAACATTAAAACTTTTCAAAACTTTGCTTAATATGTCATCGTCACACCCGACCAATGTAAAACAGAGATATAAATTATACAAATTCATGCAAGAATCTTGGAAACTAGATAAAAATATTTTTCAGAAATGCTTTTGCAAAATGTTATTTCTAACTACAGGTGGTCTAGATTAAGCAAATTCTTGGAGACTTTGAAGCTGTCCTATAAATATCAATTAATGTAACCTTTTCCCTTCCTCTTTATCTAAAGAGTTCTTTTGACATCAAAGCTAACAAAATAAACAGAATATATTAAACCTCTTCTAAGATAGAGTACGTAAAGGAGATCTTGTAGTTTATTAAGGGGATACATCTCAAGGATGACCAAGACGCAGTGAATTGGTATTTTTTATTTGGCTTTTTCCCTAAGATTGGAACTTTAGGATGGGATCATGCTAATCTACAACTCAACTAAGACTTTAAATTTACAGGGACTGAATGCTTAATCCGCTAAAAAAGTTGGAGCATTCGCACAGTTTTTTGTGACTTAAATTCTGATCTAAAAGATTTTTGATTTAATTTACCTAATCCATTAGACCTGGATTAGTGCTTTCTAAAGGGATTAACAATACAAAAGTGTAGACCTCTGAAATCCAATCTGATCCCTATTCTCTATATATCCTATATTATCAGGTTGGCTGGTATTGTAGAAAGGGGTGAAGTCGAAAAGTTGACATTCGGCTGAAATTGGAAGATTTGGACCAGAACCATTACAGGAATATTATCAAGAGGGGAAAGTATTCTTTTATATTTATCTCAGAAACAAAAATCAACCGAGATCTTTTCATCTGTGCCCATTCTTTATATGAAAACAAAAATTTAGTTTTTCTTTGTTTCAAATGAAACGCAAAAATGTTATTGTCAAGGAAAAGCATTTAATTGACTCAATTAAAAAAGTATAATTTAATTTATAAAATTTCTACCAAAAGGAGGAATACAAGCATATCAAAATGTTTATAACAGATTTCGATATAGAAATATTTGGTGCAGTTTAGTGTCCGCAGTTTCATGAATATTTAAGCCAAATAATTATATATTCAAGTTCCACATTCACATATGCAAATACAATTGGGTTTATCTGGTTTGGGCGGGATACAACAAATATAAACAAACTTTTGATACAAAACAAAACCTTTAAATCCTACCATTTACTAAATTTAAAGAAAAAAATTTAAAAATCTATAAAGTGAAAATAATAACTTTTCGAAAATGGAAAAAATGGCAAATTGACTTTCAAGAGCTTAAATCAATCAAATTAAAGGACTTCACTCCCATTTGATCATTCACCTTTCCCCAGTAGAACACTATATATCCCAGTCCTGGACTAATGTTATCAAGTATCTACTTGATGAGAAATGAACGGATAAAGACCTATTCTCAATAATGGAGTACTGAGTGGTATAAAGAGGTTTAGAGGGAGAGAGAGAGTAAGGATAAGAGTATAGAAAACCAATGAAAGGAATTAGATGGACCACTTTAACAGGTTTAAGAAAAACAACTCAAATACTAGAATTAGTGCAAATATATCAAAAATAAAATTTTCAAAGCATGTCTAAAAGAGCTCATAAGTATTAGAAAAAATATCTTTTTAATATTTAAAATTATACGTTTTTACAAAAATTTTACTAAGATTGTATTTTGTAAAAAATTTTTTAATTATATACATTCCGTATAATTTATCCCAAAAATATTAGAAAAATCAATGAAGGCCCAATCTCTGGTTTTGACACTTCTGTTTACTTCTCCTCTTCCCCTCATACAATTTATGTTTCTGGAAATTTAGTTTTTCCAATTTTAACGAACTAAATTTTAAATAAAAAAGTAGATTTTTGTCCGCTAGAGTAATTAATAGGACTTTCATACCCGTTTCACACCAGAATTATTTAAACCTTAGCTATTGGCGTTATCTGTCTAAAATAGAAAAAATTGTGTCATTATCCGTCCTTGTCTTTACTGCATGAATCCGCAAGTCACTTTTACAGAGAAATTAATGGAAAAATGGAAATTTTTCAGAGAGAATAACAAGGATATCTCCATCCCTTTCGACCAGATTTAAAGGAAGAATAAGAAAATTAAACACCCCTGAATGGGAAAACTGAACACCCTAAATGGGAAAACTAAACACTTATGAATGGAAAAACTAAACACCCTAAATGGGAAAACTAAACACCCCTGAATGGGAAAAATAAACACCCTAAACGGGAAAACTAAACACCTCTGAATGGGAAACTGAACACCCTAAATGGGAAAACTAAACACTTCTGAATGGGAAAACTGAACACCCTAAATGGGAAAACTAAACACCTCTGAATTATAAAATACTTCAGAAATTTGGTGCATTTATGCATTTATTGTTATAGTGCAATAAATGGAACCGAATATTTTCCATAATGCAGAAATATTGTGCAAATGACACCTTTAATATACAAAATCTACAATAACGGAAGATCTTACAGAAAATACTTAATTTATATTAATCACAAAGTAACTGGTTTAATTGACTAAAACTGGTTTATATTAGAGAGTAAAATCTCCAACTATAAAATAACTTTTTACCCCTCGGTTCCTTGTCAATATCCTAGCAAAAAGGTTCTTTATTGCATTCAATTCAGGCAGAGATAGATAGATAAACAGGCACAGCTGCAGTAACAAAGCATTGTGACAATTATATAAAGCCAAACAATATTTAGGACATGAGAATTTGTTTCGTGAGTTTTGACTCACTCTGTTTTATGAGATTCAAATTTCGTCTTCAATTTTGTTGTATGATTCAAATTTCCCGCGCTGGTATTGAAGTTGTGTTCTGTGTCGGGCCGGTCTAACAATCCTAATTCCAAGAAATCCACGCATTTTAGTCCCGGTTAAGCGCTCAAATTGAAAGGATAAAAGATGGTTTTGGTGTCCTTTTAAAAAGGCGCGGACTCAGGATATAACCACTTTTTGCGAGATACAAGGAAAATATAAGGTACATGTTTTTTTATTTCGACGATAATTTTAATGCGACGTTTTTCTGTCAATTAATCAGTGTTAAGTTAAAATATGGCAACTTTTTAAAATATTTTACATTGATTTATGTTTAGCGTATATTACTATATTTTTCTGCTTATGTTTTACCGTCGATTTTTTATTCAGATCGAATCCTTATTGAATACTGTCGGTTGCAGAAAAGATGAGAGGAATCTAAAATTTGGTCTCACTAAATCTCACGCTGATCTACAACCAACGTACTCTGATTACGATCAACCCTAGCTTGTCCGCAATATGAGTGGAAGGTAGAACATTTTTTAGTTCATCATAGTTAATATTAAGTAGGCAGAGGTTGTCTGCTGAAACATTCGATCTTATACCTTTTATGAGCATTGGTTCCTTGATCAATATTTTTCGGTTTTTTACCTTTTTAAGCAAATAATTCTGAAGTTAAAGACTGTTAAAGGCCTCAATTATCAATGGAGTTTCAAGCTGAAAATACATTGGTTGAAGATTAAAGATTAAAGATTAAAGATTAAAGTTTAAAGATTAAAGATTAAAGTTCAAAGATTAAAGATCAAAGATTAATGATTAAAAGTCAATACTCGCTATTTTTACATTCACTATGTAAAGTTTAGTATTCAAATCTAGTAAAATGTCTAATCCTCGGGAGTCTGGGGACAGTAATATTCGTCGTCGATCTAATTCTGAGGGTGATCATGACCATTTAAACAGTACATCTTTGCAAACTGGTTCCAATATTATCCAAAGTGTAGGTAATATCCCAAGTGAAAGATTTCAATCAAACCCAAATTTATCCATACATGATGGGGATCAGGATTATTTTGAATCACCGCTCGGCACCGGTCTTGCAACCCGTCTCCAAGTTAAATTGGATACAAGGGCTGTTGAACGCCAAAAGTTTGCTAAGCAATCATGCCTTCAATTAATACGGGATGTTAAGAGTTGGCAAACAATATTTTTAGCGCCAAACTCTGAGATTCCAATCCAAGAAATACACTGGGATTTTGATATTTTTTCTAAACGAATCCGGGATGTTTCCTCTAATGCTATGTTACGACGTGTGGATGTCAATACAATCAATGAGGTACAGGAATTACAATTTGTTATAAAACGAATTAAACGAAAAGCAGATTCCTTAGACAAGGGACCCAGTTTGCAAAGTGACAGTCACCGATCATCCTCAGATAGCTCTATAGAAAATGATGATGCATTTTACAATGATAATGATAAGTCTAAGAATTTAGATAACCAACCACCTAACCTATCACCTATTATATCGGGTAGTAATGTACGGGGTGAGCCAAATGTAGCCTCTGATTTAATATCAAACCTCAGTCCTAAGTCTCCACTGATAAAATCTGTCGAAAATATTAGGTCCATGATTAATAATGCTCAGCGGACAAATAGTAACTTAAATCCTTCAGTATCTTCATATAATCCTGGAAATATTCAGGATTATGTTGATCCAATTATTACTAAGTTTCAGAGTTTGGTAGATATCAGTATAGAAAGGCAGAATAATAGGTTAGATACTATTGACTCACTTGGTAAGCATTTACAACATCAGATTACAGGTCTTGTAGAATCTATAAAGGTAGCTAATGATAGGATTGAGAGTGTTGAGACACAGACAATAAAGAATAGGAGTGATATTACCGAGTTAACTATTACAATTTCCGAAGTGGATTCAAAGCTTCAAGATTATATTGATAAGAAAGCTGCAGGACTAGCACAAAGATTAGATGAATCTATAATTTGTACTGAGTCTGGAGATTTGTCTGATATAGTTAAGAAGGGTATACAGGATAATATAGAAAGGACTAGTCCTGGTGCTGTTATAACAGAAGTAAGAAAGGAGATTGAGTTAATCAAGAAAGGTCATGTTAAGGTTAATAGAAGAAGTAAGATAAGTGAACAACTGATATCAAATCTTACTGAATTAGTGGCTGATATTAAAGACCAAGTAGATAAGACGCAGGAGATAAATCTTACTATAGCTCAACATAATCAGGATTGTTCAAATACAAATACCATGAGATCATCTAATGAGGCAAATATTATAAAGGCTGGAATTGATAGAATTGTCAGGTTGATCTCCCAATTGATTAGTACAAAGATAACCGACACTGCGGATTTGGCATTGATTAAAAAATGCAATAAGGAAGATGTTACCAAGATCACCAAATATTCTCGAATCTGTCGGGATGATTTGCTCAAGTATGTTGCGTACCCAGGGGCAGATAACACCTTCTGCACTGATGTAAATGACCTACTGGAAAAGGCAGATAACTGGATCCTGGATATGGAGCAGTTGTATGTACGATCTGAAGCCCACGTGAGTACCACTGGTAAGGGTAATCTTGACCACCTGGGTGTATTTACAAATAATGCTGCTAAGACAATATATGAATTCTTTGATGATGCTGAGATGGCACTCATGGGCTGGGGTAACTCCAGACAAAGGGCTTATCAACTATTTAATCATCTGTCTGAACCAATTAAAGCCAAACTGGAAGACATCTCTGATAATTATGCACAGATAAAGGCTAGATTGATAGAAGAATATGGCACTGCGGATAGAATTATAAGTGATGTTGTCAAGGCATTAGTCAATGGCAAAAAACCAACCCTTGGAGATAAGAGAGAAAGGTCGTGTTTTTTCTCCAATTTTGCTTCCGGTATTCAACGCCTGGACAAATTATCCAAGGTACCAGAAATACCTATAGCTGTTCTGCAGGCATTATTATACTCACGTAATACATTATCATCAATGATTGGAATTTTACCAGGCGAAGATTCAGACCAATTGCGTAGAAAGTTTGCCGATAGGAAGTTAGATTGGGATAACCCGTGTGGGATACATACCTTTGCATTGTTAAAGGAATACGTTGAAACGGAACGCAGTATAGCGGAGCCATTCAAAGGTTTATCTAATTCTACTCAAGGTGGTAATAACAGTAGTAGTTCTAGTTCAACTCATTTTAAGTCTAAACCCAAATCGGCATTCACGGCTAGTAATGTACAGTACTCATCTGATGAAGAGACTACTGTGCACGTTACTAACACCTTCCAAGCAAAACCATGGTTCTCACCTGGTCTGAAATTCCCTTGTCCACTAGAAGGACACAATCATGAAATGGCTGATTGCTTGGTATTTCTAACAATGAAACCAGCTGAGAGATGGGAGAAGACAAAGGTGAATCGCATATGTTACTGTTGTCTAAAGCCAAAAAGCATCTGCATTACACGGAGATGTAATTTCGCAGATACTGTCCCAGATGCATTAGTATGCCAAGGTTGCATTGAGTACGCACAGGAGAAAGGTTTTGCTCCATTTAACATATTACTATGCAAGAAAGAGCGTCATCACGAATTAAGAGCAAATTTCTCTGATATCCATAGGATCATGGAGAAGTATTTGGGAAAGATTCACTCTTCTATAACAAAACAAAACCTAAGAGTCTCCGCAAATTTCATGTTCCAGGTTCATAGTATAGCTCCATGTCACCCAAAAACAGAGTGCAGCTGTTGTGTAACTCCATCCACATTAGGTATAAACACCCCATCTATAGATACCAGGACCGGGGAATTAATGTTCCCCAAGTCAAGTAATGTCATCCCGGAAAGCAAAGAACACAGTATTTACCTAATGCAAATCCTAAAGGTTGGAAATACTGATGTATTAACATTTTTCGATAGTGGAGCAAATGTGAATCTAATTGATGGAAAAGTTGCAATCAAGGAAAATCTCCAGTTAATCTCTCCAAAACCTACAGCATTAACTGTAGTTGGTGGTGGTACTGTCAAAACCAGTTATGGATCATATCGGTTTAATATGGGCCCTACAGAAGGTAACCAGTATCATGAGATAACCACTGTAGGAATGGATTCTGTAACAATGGATGTTCTTCAATNTTCCCCAATCCCAGCTGATATTCAATCCTCTTCTGACGTGAGACTTATTTGCTTGAGTGATGCTGGAACAAATGCTGGAGGAGCCATTGTATATGCTGGAAGGAAGTATAAAGATGGAACCTGGTCGTGTTCCATGATTGCAGCAAAATCAAAATTGATGAAATTTACCATCCCGCGGAACGAGCTGTCTGCAATTCTAATGATGGTAGAACTAGGCTATCTAGTGAAAAAAGCATTGCAAAATGAGGTCTCCGAGGTCATATACATAACTGATTCAACGATTGCCCTCTCTTGGTGTCATAATGTTAACAAGAAATTAAGGCAATTTATATTAGCTAGAGTAGAGACGATAAGAAGATTAATTGATTGGACAATTGATTCTGATCAATTACCATTATATCATATTGAAGGTACGCTTAATCTTGCTGATTTATTGACAAAACCTCATGAGATTGCTGTTCAAGATGTATCAATAGGTTCTAATTGGGAGCAAGGATTAGAATGGATGAGATTGGATACTTTAGAGATGCCACTCACAAGGTACTCTGAGTTAACAATAGATTATAGTACAGAAAAGGTGGTTGAAAGTGAGTGCTTTGATGAGCCTTTTCTAGGAGATCCTGAATTTATGGCCGTGCATGCTACTGGGTCATCAATAAAGTCATATAATCCAAGGAAAAATATATGTTTACTAGTAGATATTATTGGATTAGGATGGAGGAAAGCTATTAGAGTACTGAACATTGTATTGTTGTTTATAAATAATATCAAGAATGCATCAAAACATCAAAGACTAACAAGTATTGGAAACTTGCGTGATAGTGAACGGTCAGTAATAATTGAGAAGTCAAGAAGATTCAAGGGCCGCTCAAAAGAATATTTATTCAGATATGAGTCACAGATTGTGAAACTGAAAATCCCTAAGAGAAAACTGCTTAAATATATTGAAGTGGATTCAATATTATTTTTTCAGGGTCGTTTTTCGGATGGAAGTGTATTCAAATTTAAAGATCTGGATGGAGTTTCATTCTTTGATTCGTACCATATATCTGGCCCAATTCCTGTTTTGTTGATTGATTCTCCAATTGTTTATGCTAGGATAATTGAAATCCACTGTAATACAATCCCTCATGCTGGGGTGGAGACAACTGTGAAACAAGTATTCAAGGAAATGATGGTGCTTGGTGGAGTTCGTGCATTAGTCAAAAGAATAAAGGAAACATGCATACGGTGCAAATTGATCGAAAAAAAGAGAGTTCAACTAAAAATGAGTGATCATCCTAGCCCAAGATATACTATATCTCCGCCATACTATTCATTGATGATGGATATTTGTTATGGATTCCCTGGCCAGGCCTACAAAAGGTCGAGAGCTAGGGTCAAAATATATGGTCTAGTTTTTGTTTGTTTACTCACTGGAGCAACCAACATACTTGCCCTGGAGGGTATTGAGACACAAGATATTGTCTCTGCAATTGAAAGACACTCATCAAGATATGGAGTACCAGCAGAGATTTATGTGGACTCAGGTACACAGTTGAAAGCACTGCAACATTCACAATTATCCCTTCGAGATGTAGATGCACAGGTATATGATTCCATGGGAATACAGGTAATTGTATCTACAGCAAAAGGTCATGAGGAAAGAGGAAGAGTAGAGCGAAAAATAAGAACAATTAGAGATACTCTAGAGAGGACTGGAGTCTCTTCTACATCTCCAATGTCGGCACTACAATGGGAAACGGTATTTCAAAAGATATCATCAACTATTGATGATCTTCCCCTGGCCAGGGGTGATACATCTTCGTCAACAAACCTAGGTTTTGAGATCTTGACAGCCAACAGGTTAAAACTTGGAAGGAATAATAATAGATCTCTGGAAGGTTCTGGTATCATAGTGGATATGAACCCAAACCTAACCCGTATCTTGGAAAGAAATAGAGAAATCTATTCCCAATGGTTCTCTATATTCATGGATAACATTCATATGTTAACACTAAAACCAGATAAGTGGAGTAAATCTACTGATTTGCCTAATATAGGAGATGTGGTTTTATTTGTATTTAATGATTCGTCATATTCAAAATCAGATGTTTTGTGGAAGCTTGGTAAAGTCAGTGAGGTTAAGCCTAGGAAGATAACAGTAAAATACTTTGTAAAAACAGATGGTAAAGGTTTGTCAATAATGAATGAGGTAGTTAGGAATCCGAGAGATGTCAGTATTATTTACTCAATTGATCAGTTGTGTATGAACACCAAGGATCACCACAAAAAATTGTTTGAGCCGTAGTCATTTAGGCATAATAATTATGATGAGGGATTTAAGTTACTACTTTTTTCTTATCATTTTACCAATCCAAACTATATCTGAGAAATTATTGACCTACATAACCAAAGTACTTACTGTTTTGGCAAACCATTTTATACCTACCTTGTTGTTCCACAAACTTATATCGTCACTCTTGAGTTTTGAAAATATTTATGAAAAATATTCAAATCAGGACCATTCTTATTGGCTTATTGGCATAAACACATCTAACCTTATAAAGGCTAATCACACTGTTATATTAAAAAATTGGTGTTACAAATGTTTTAAATCTATATTATTCAGGAGATACAGTAGATCCTGGAAGGATTCTGAGGGATCAAGATACAATAGAGATCAATATGATGATAATGATTGGAGGGGTTATGAATCTAATTACCCTCAATCAAATGATTATGAACAAGATAAATCAAGGAGATATCATCTATATGATGATTATTATCAGGATGATGGAAGGGATCTAGGAGGTGAAGGTGATAATCAACATTGGCAGGATGATTACCAGAATCACCGAGGTGATGAAGGTTATCGATCCTATCATGATCAGTCCCAGTATAGTAATTCATGTCCTCAGACAAAATACAGAGATAGGTCTATTGCTGGTAGATCAGAGAGTCAGGAAAGTCGGCCTACAGTCCATAGATCAAACCCAGAGGAATCCAGGTCGGATGCTGAGCAGGATGGCTCCAGATCAAAATTGGAGCCGGGGAAACCTAAGTCTACATTAGTTCAGCCATCTAAGCTGAACATGATTGACTCGGAATCTTTGAGAGAGTTTGTTAGATCAAGACTGGATGATGAGCGGGCACATTCAACTCGTTCAAGATCAGATATTCTATTGAGAGAACCAACAACATGTTACTGGAAGATTGGTGAAAAATTTGACAAACAGATGATCATAAGGGAGTGTGTGAAGTATACCCCTCACATGAATCGACATGGAGATGCAATTTGTATGGATAAGTTCCTCAATGCCACACTTGATAGAAAAGTTTATTATATTGGAGATGATATCAATGATTACTTTGTAGAAGGGGCACCGTTACTGGAATATCTAAGCGTTTATCAAGAAGCAATGGATGCTTGGAAGTATCCAACTCGTGAAGAGATCTCTGATTTTCGGAGGAATCGGGGTCTATCCTTTAGAATGATCAGTGAGATTACAGTACGTGAGATTGTGGTGGGATCTACCAGTGCTCCGGAGATACATGATATTGTATCCTGGTTCTGGGTGGTTTGGAAGAAAGATCAAGAGCATTATCCATCTAATGTTGTATCAATGGATAATGAGGAATTACCTATGACATTATATGATATCTACAGGATCACCGGTGTTATTCCATGTGTTCAGTCAAGGATAAAGGCTACTGATCCTGAGGATGATATTCGCCCTGAGGTAAGCTCTGAAGACCGTCCCATGCAATTTCCTGTAAAAGTAATGCTTGGAAATGGGTTTAACTGGGCACTGATGATCTCTGTCAATCTTGAACGTGATACTAGAGATCGTTATCTGGTCAAAACCATCAAGATGCAGCCAGAGATCATAGATTTCATTGAAACCATACCTGTATGTATAGGTCTCGGGGTCAAGGGAGATGTCGCTGACCTTGCTTATTATTATTCAATGTTTGTGGACCGAGATGTTAAAGTTCGTGGTTTTGTGGATCTCACTGCATTATCTGTCTTATGTGGGTATGAATTTCAATCCAGATCCATGACGCCGATGGCTGCTCAAGTGTGTGGCTTACTAATGAATAAGATGGTCTCCACTGCAGACTCTAAGTGGGCATATCCCTGGAATGAGATTCCTGAGTCATTGCGCATATATGCACTAGCTGACCTCCGATTTGGATACATGACATACACTATATTAACTGGGATTATTATTGCAGATTTATGTCCTGATCCGGAAATAGTGTGTTATCAACTCCAAGTATATCAGCTTGAGGCTGTACAATGGTTACTAGATTGGATATTGCAGACTCTAGAGAATCTTGAAGTTCATCAAGATGCTGTTTATAATGCTAAATCCCGCAGAGAGTTGATTTGTGCCCTGAGATACAGGTACAATTCATCGTCTCGTCTTTCAAGTGATCCGCCTCCAAGGATTAATATATGGTTAGAATTGCTGGGGGATTGGCCCAGTCTTACTGCTGGTGGATGTCGATTTATTGTCCAGCCTAGAGAGCACTTTATGAGACAAGTCACCATACTCAGGAAAGCCAGGATTAGTTGGGGTTCTGGTATTGAACTCAGAGAGGTAACAGAAGAGATGTTACTCTATGCTCGATTTGGTTTCTCTGTATCTAGACTGAGGAGGATTGATTGGAATGTTGCTGTATCTAAGGGTGCTCCTGCTGGTCTTACTGTTCATCCTGGATTGGCATTGCCTAAAGGTGTAGATCCTATGGCTAAGTATAGTGGATTTCTCCAATATTCTAAGCAGGTTGGAAGAATTATGAAGTTTGTGTTGTTGCACTGGGCTAGAACTTACCCTGGAGAAATTACTAGTTTTCTGAAGAATGTCAAGAGTAACCAATTCTTCCGGAGATTCTATCAAAATTGTTATGATGCGATTAGATTCTTGTATCGGAGAATATTCAATATTCATGCAATGCGGGTGTGCATTGTTGAAGAGAAGTTGACCGGTGATCTGCTGGAGCAACTGAAAGTTGCCAAAGCAGAGAAAGCTGTTGCTGTAGAAGAGATGAAGATTCGGGATGAAAGGGTTGCATATCTGCAAATGATGGTTGATTCTCAGGATTCTGTTGAACGTGCAAGATGGAGGGAGTATTATCCTGAGCTTCCCAGTCAAGCTAGAAAGAGGGAGCGAAAGAGAGCAAGGTCTCAGTCACGAGGTCGGTCACAATCAAGGGGTAGGAGTAAATCTTGTAGGATTGATCCTGGTTCGGCTCCATCTTCAGTTGTCAGTAATGAACCTGTTTTAACTGCGGATCCAGCACCTGTTGTGGATCCATTTGCATCTGAGTCTGAGATTGAAGATAGTGATAAGAATGAGGTGACTGGAACTGCTAAGATCAAGTCTGGAGATAGTACTAGTGATCCTAAGCCTGATATGGGTTTAGATACTGAGAATGGATCTGTCATGTTGGAGGTTGTGGAAGTGGATGAAGAGATGTTCTTGGAAGATTTTAATCTTCCAATACCTAAAGCTAGAAAGCTCGTTCCAGATAAGAGGAAGTCAAAGGGAAGAAAGAAGAAACCTGTTAAGGTATTGACAGACGCTCAGAAGTTAGCTGCTTCTGTGGAGGTTGAGACTCGGAGTAGAGAGGAAGATGTCGACCTGGAGTTCGAGTTTTCAGAGTTTCTTTGATTTTTTATTTTTGTTTTGATTTCTTGTGTATTGCTCTTCTCTTTTCAGCAATGTTGATTAAAGTTTTATTTGTTTGGTTGTTCCAGATCTTATGATTACAATTACTAATAGCTTTGAGATCTGATTCAGAACAAATTGTCCTGAATATGTTGGTTTTTCTGCCAAGATTATTTAAAATCTGTTGTAAGTTGTCTTTTGTTTTATAGAAATAAATTATGTTCAGTGATTTTAGTATATTATTTGTCGTTATCGTGATCGTGAAATACAATAGACATGGTACCAACTCTTGGTGTGGACGAAATTTTTCCCTCCCGGGGGAGTGTTTCGTGAGTTTTGACTCACTCTGTTTTATGAGATTCAAATTTCGTCTTCAATTTTGTTGTATGATTCAAATTTCCCGCGCTGGTATTGAAGTTGTGTTCTGTGTCGGGCCGGTCTAACAATCCTAATTCCAAGAAATCCACGCATTTTAGTCCCGGTTAAGCGCTCAAATTGAAAGGATAAAAGATGGTTTTGGTGTCCTTTTAAAAAGGCGCGGACTCAGGATATAACCACTTTTTGCGAGATACAAGGAAAATATAAGGTACATGTTTTTTTATTTCGACGATAATTTTAATGCGACGTTTTTCTGTCAATTAATCAGTGTTAAGTTAAAATATGGCAACTTTTTAAAATATTTTACATTGATTTATGTTTAGCGTATATTACTATATTTTTCTGCTTATGTTTTACCGTCGATTTTTTATTCAGATCGAATCCTTATTGAATACTGTCGGTTGCAGAAAAGATGAGAGGAATCTAAAATTTGGTCTCACTAAATCTCACGCTGATCTACAACCAACGTACTCTGATTACGATCAACCCTAGCTTGTCCGCAATATGAGTGGAAGGTAGAACATTTTTTAGTTCATCATAGTTAATATTAAGTAGGCAGAGGTTGTCTGCTGAAACATGATATTTAGTCAGATAGATAAATAGATAGATAGATATTTAGTCAGATAGATAAATAGATAGATAGATATTTAATTAGATAGGTAAATACATAGATAGGTAAATATACAGATAGATATATAATTAGATAGATAAATATATAGATAGATGAATAGATAGATAGATATATAATTAGATGAACGAAGAAAAAGGTTTAAGAAACGATTCTCTTTCACCAAAAATATTAAAAAAAGAGGATCGTCTTGAGTAATTACAATTTTTGTGAATTTAAACATTTAAAAACATTTTTTCCCATTAAAAGTGTTCTCAAATAATATTTGAAAATACCCAACCCTGTGTCATTTTATATATATTGGTAGAGAGACAGGAACAGATTGTAGAAATAAATTTTTTTTCTGCTGATTTTGCAGTTTCCAGTCTTTCACCTTTTATTATTTAGTATTCTTTACTGGATTAAATTTGAACAGTTTAAACAGGACCTTTGCTGTACTAATACACACCCCTCCCCCCCTCACTCACGCTTTTAGGAGATCAATACCACCCCCCCTCCCCTCCCCACCAACCAGTTTTAATTCAGATCGTTGTATTCCCCTTTCAACAAAGTAGATTTGTTTGGTTCTATTTCCTTTAAAGCTGTAGAGGGACATATAGAAGGAAATTAGGGTAAACAGATAGATAGATAGATAGATAGATAGATAGATAAATAAAAAGATAGATATATAGATAGATAGATGGATGTATAGATAGTTAGATAGATAGAAAGATAGATAGATAGGTAGATGCATAGATAGACAGATAAATAGATGAATAGATAGATAGATGGATAGATAGATAGATGGATAGATAGATAGATATATAGATAGAAAGATAGATAGATAGGTAGATGCATAGATAGACAGATAAATAGATAGATAGATAGACAAAAACATAGATAGATGGATGGATAGATAGATATATCTATAAATAGATAGATAGGTAGATAGAAAGATAGAAAGATAGAAAGATAGATAGATAGTTAGATAGGTAGATAGATGGATTGATAGAAAGATAGAAAGATGGATAGATGGATAGATAGATAGACAGACAGACAGGCATATAGATAGATATATAAATAGATAGATAAATGGATAGTACGTGTGTATATATATATATCAATAAAGATGGATGTATATTAGATGACTAAACATGTTAAGTAAATTGAGAAACAGGGAAATAGATTTGAAACAAAGAACTCGAGAGAACAGAGTTGAATAGATCGATACGTTGGAATCCAAGAATATATAAAAAAGAAGAAAGAACAATTGGATACCATAGATAAATAGGTAGATAGAACTATCGGATACCATAGATAAATAGGTAGACAGAACTATTGATATATATGTTAATGAACAGAAAGACAGATAGTTTGACAAATAGATGGATAGATAGATAGATGGATAGATAGATGAAAAGTTAGAAAGAGTTCTAAGTATCCTTGAAGTCAGTTAAACCAATACTCTTACTTATCGGAAATACAAGACAGGAAAGAAGTATTTAAAAAGATGCACTCAACAACTAAAGGGTGAGCAAATCATTATACAGGGTGTACAAAAAGAAAAAAAAGTTTTTGCAACAAACTCTAATTTTCTAATTCATATATTGTTGAAACCCACTGTCGGAAACCTTTGATATTTCAAACTACAAATTCTTTCAGATAAAAAATACAAGTTTGAAATAGCAAAGATTTACCCCAATAGGTTGCAAGGGTTTTGGGATTAAAAATTTGAGTTTGTAGCAAAAACTCAGTTCCTTTAGTGTAGCAGCAGAGCTGTAATGATACAAGCTTAAAATAATGTATTTGTAGCAAATTGGTTTAAGATAATTTAGCAAAAATTTGCCCCCCCCCAAAAAAAAAAGAGGAAGAAATATAACCCAGTATATGAATAATACTACAATATGGCGCACACGACACTCTTTCATTTCAGCTCAAAATATCCTCTAATTGAAATCCAACTTCTTTCCACCAGGTGTCCTCAGAAAATACACTTGACAGAAAACACAAATATTTTTTTTTCAAATGATATTTATGAATTCTGAGTAAAATTGTTATAGATGTTTCACTTATGTTTTTCTTGAAATAAAAGCTTTTTTATTTCTTTTTTTTGGACACCCAATATCACGCTCTCCCAGCCCCCACAGATGGCACGGGGTAACGAAGTGTAAGGCTAGGAGATGATATTAAAAATGACTTCTTTGTTTTGATTTATTGTTTGAATTCTGGACTTTAGAGAAGTGAACCGAGTTTAATTTTTTTCTACATCCTTCTACTCAATCCTTCTACTCAATCCTTCTACTCAATCCTTCTACTCAATCCTTCTACTCAATCCTTCTACTCAATCTTCATAGAATATTTTAACTTCATGGTTCTACCGAGTTCCTTATCCAAATATTTGAGGCAAATCAGCCAAAGCAGTTCCTGAGTAATGATCGGATTTACTAAAAAACAGAGATTACTACTTTATATATAAATATATATACATATGATAGATATCTACATATTTTTATTTTATTTTTAAATGAATGTTTATCAAATACTTTTCTGAAAAAAATATGCATGAAATAGTTAAAATAAGATCAAAAAAGTAATAAATAAATTAAAACTTAATGGAAACATTTTGTAGAATCATTAATTTTAAAAATGTCTTTAAAAATTATTGCCTGATACAAAATTATTTAGTTTTATGTTAAAAATGAATTATGAAATATGAAAAGTATAAAGAATATATCTGAGTTCTACAGAATTAAATCCTAATTGATTCTGACATTAAATTATTCAACTAAAATAGTTTGCATTGAGTGTGCTGAAATGTGTTGTTTAAATTCTTGAAATCAATTCAAATTGTAAATTAGAATTTCAAGGTTATTTTCCTTATTTTTGCATGTTTTCTTTACAAATTCCAGACTTGAGTCCCATATCCGATTTCAGGGGTAATTTCTAGAGTTCTAGGGTTCAGTAACTCAGAAAGGAATTGAGTCTTTGCCACAAACTCTGATTTTCTAATCACTATATATTTGGAACCAAATGTTGTAGACCTTAGATATTTCAAACTATGAATTCAGTTAGATCAAATAATCTGAGTTTGAAATATCAAAGGTTTACAACATCGTGTTCTAAACATATTGAGGTTTAAATATTTGATTTTGTTCCAAAGACTCAATTCCTTTAAAGGGTTTCAGGACTGTATATACTTTCCAGAAAAGAACCTATTTTTTAATATTTTCAGGCCATTATTTTTTTTCAAAGAAATTAAAAAGTTTAGACTGATATTTTACAACATGAAAATTCTAAAAAATAAATATATATCCTTAAAAGAAAAAAACAAGAACTATATATTTTTAAGATTTAGATTCCTCAAGCAAAATGATTTTAGAAAATTTCTGTAAATTTTTTTTTAATTATCTTCGCCGGAAAGTAAATTCACACAGTCATGTGGAAAAGATGAATTTTAAAGAGGAAAATTTTAATCATAAAAAGGTCATAAATTTCTCATCCTCAATGGTCATGATATTTCTTTGTATTACAGGGTAAATAAATGTATTTAGTTACTATGGTGTAAGAAGCATGAAGGATCGCATCAGAGCATTCAAGAGATTTCTATAATTTCAGAGGAAGAAACTATCCTTTGTAAATATATAGCTAGCTATGAGTTTATAAGGGATATATATTTATTTTCAAGATAGATTTTCAAAGATTTGAGGGAAAAAAGAAAATTGGACATCAAACATTGCTAAAATACGGGGGGGGGGGGTATAGGGGAAACGATTTCTAAAGAATAAACACCCCTGGAGTTTGGATAAACTAGAGAATGAATATTTACATAGATAGAGAAGGAATTGAATTTGGTTCGAAACATTACTCCGGTCTTGTCTAGATCAGTTGGGGTTCTATTTATTATCAGAGATCAATATTCAAAGAGTAAATCCTTCGGGCAGACAGAATCAGAGATAGACAGACACTTAATCTTTTTCAGAAATTTTGTTAAAAGTTCTTTAAACTTACTCTCTGTGCAGTTTTCTCCATCGAATCCCGGATCACAATTGCATCTTCCGTTCTTGCAGTCGCCGTGGCCATTGCAATCGTTCCCACATCCGTCTAGGTAACAAGAAATTATGTTATATAAACAAATCCTTGAGTTTTTCTTATTGTAATGTCAATTAAGAGTTAATGCCTGGTTTACCATTGTGTCTTTTTAAATATTTTCTGAATAACAAGTCTTTTCAATAAAGAAAGAAATTCTCAATTATATTATTCCTTGACTGAGGTGCATAAACCCGCAAACCCTAATTGAATATTTTAAAACAATTGATTTTTTTCTACTTAAATCTTCTGATCTTTAAAACCTGATGGTACAATCTTTTGATATTTCAAACTTAAATTTTTTAATAGTTTGAAATATTGGGTTGCAAAGGTATATGGAGTTGGTGGCAAACAATCGACTCCTTTTTTAAGTAACAAAAACATGGATGGTTTCAGCATTTTTACTCCGACAAAGGTTTAAAAGCTATCATTGTGGATCTTTCTTGAACATGAGGGTCACTTTAAGGGAATTGAGTTTTTGCCACAAACTCCGACTTTTTCATAGCAATATCTTGGCAACCCTATGTAGTAGACCTTACATATTTCAAACTGTAAATTCAAATAATTTAAGTTTAAAATATTGAAGGTTTAGAACATCGAGCTTTAAAGATATAAGAATTAGAAACGTTGATGATGTGGAAAAGACTCAATTCCTCACGTGGAATGTTGAGCAATCATATTCGAATTGAATCAATGGCATCTGCTGTGCTGGCTAGTTTACCTGCTCCCTGTGAGTCTGCGAGCAATATCTCAACAGGCTGAGGCTCCCCATCATCATTATACAAGGATACAAACCAGTGTCCCTCCTCCAGGTACAAGTTTTCACTGCTCTGAACACGTCCCTGGGAACAAACAATAACTATTGAGAAAAATAAAAAAATGTTTAATTTTAAAATAAAAAATAAAATTCAAGATAATTATCAAAAGAATTTTTTTAAAAGTTTTTTTCTTCAATTTTTTCTTCTAAGACACACTTTTATTATCAATAATAAAATAGATTATTCAACTTTACACTTTCAAGAAAATATGTAAAGTGTAGTAACACATACTGTATTAGTTTTTCTGACCATTTCATAGAATTTCAAAATAAACATACATCCTTGTACATGCTCCTTCTCTTATTGTTGAATTAAACAAAAGACATAAATTTAATATACATTTTTGCTTTTAAGGCGCTTCCTACAAATCTCGAGATTAAACAATTGCAGATTTAAATATGTCATTGTGTTTGGCGCATTTTAAGCCAAGTTTCACCAGTTTCAATAAAAAATATCAGCGGAGAATATTCTGACATTATTTAAAATTCAGAATCCCCCTCCCTTAGGCGTTGCTGTGAGAGATGATTGTACACAAAAGTTTGTAAACATTAGTCAGAAAAACTGACATCCTTTATTCTCCTAGGATTTCACCACTTGCGACCGGTACACATTTCAAGAATAAAAAGTTTACAAAATAAAATAGAAATGTAAACCTTGGATACACTTTTATAGTCTTTGAACATAAAACTTAATTTAACACAAGCTGAATTGCCCGGCGATGCCCATGGAATATAAACAAAAAAGTACTTTGCGAAAATATTCAAAATAAAAAAATTTCGAATTTTTTTAGCCTAATGGGATTCCTGAAAAACAAATTGGCCAGTTATAGCTAACATAACATATTATATATAAATATATATATATTTGCAAAGAACTTTATTGTAAAGATAAAAATAATTATATAGCTTTACTTACTAATTATTCAGTATTTTTAATCTAAAAAATTTTATTTCTTGAGTTATTTGGGTTGAAAACTTTAGAATGATAAATCCTTAATCCCGATAGGTTAATTAATCTGAAGATTAATAACAAGAGGAAAACAAGCCTTATTTAATCTGGAGATTAAAAAAAGATCAAACATTGTTCTCGATATCGACCATTCTAAAGTTTTCAGCTCAGATCTCGTATATATATAAAAATATATTTCTTTTGAGATATTAAAGAATAAATTTTCTGTCGTATTATTCATCTATTCTAGAGCTAACCAGATTACTCTGGTGGGCAGAATATAAAATCATATCAGCTTGATATATGCTATCTAGGTCCATATTTCATACACGAATCTACTAAGGAAATAGTATTTATTTTAAATTCGGATTTTTTTAAGGAAAGATTATACTTTCTTCTTTAAACTGTTTTTCCAAAGTTTTGTCGTTTCTTAACCTTAAACGACATTTTAAATTGGTTGATATTAAATATTTAGTTAGTTTCTTTGTACTTTTCGTTTTGTTTTTTCTTTACATACCTTCTTCTCAACATCAATCCATTTCCCTCTTTTTGATCTAGAATTTTTTTTGTTTAATTTTTCGAAAAAAATCATTCATTGCTTTTTTTTCGTTCCTAGCTGATACATTTAACTTTTTGTCTAAGTTTGTTGACAATCCTCCTTTTTACACTTTCCAGTCCACATCTTTCTCTTTTCTCTTTTCTTTCCAATCCACATTTTCGGTTTTCTCTTTTCTTTCTTATCCACATTTTTATGTTTTCTCTTTTCTTTCTAATCCACATTTTTCTCTTTTCTCATTTCTTTCCAATCCACATTTTTCTCTTTTCTCTTTACTTTCCAATCCATATTTTTCTGTTTTCTCTTTTCTTTCAAATCCATATTTTTCTGTTTTCTCTTTTCTTTCAAATCCTTATTTTTCTGTTTTCTCTTTTCGTTTAAATCGATATTTTTCTGTTTTCTCTTTTCTTTCAAATCCATATTTTTCTGTTTTCTCTTTTCTTTCCAATCCATATTTTTCTGTTTTCTCTTTTCTTTCAAATCCATTTTTTTCTGTTTTCTCTTTTCTTTCCAATCCACATTTTTCTGTTTTCTCTTTTCTTTCAAATCCATATTTTTCTGTTTTCCTTTTTCTTTCTTATTCATATTTTTCTGTTTTCTCTTTTCTTTCTTATTCATATTTTTCTGTTTTCTCTTTTCTTTCTTTTCCGTGTTTTTCTGTTTTCTCTTTTCTTTCAAATCTATATTTTCTATTTTCTCTTTTCTTTCTAATCCATATTTTTATGTTTTCTGTTTTCTTTCTTATCCATATTTTTCTGTTTTCTCTTTTCTTTCTTGTTAATATTTTTCTGTTTTCTCTTTTCTATCAAATCTATAATATTTTGTTTTCTCTTTTCTTTCTTAATTATATTTTTCTGTTTTCTCTTCTTCCAATCTATATTTATTCAGCCAATCCCCCCGCCTCCATGCTTTACATATATTTATGCAAAATATTCCTGCTAAAATAACAGAAACCCTTCCATCCTTTCTTCAATAATACTCAATAAAAAATCCATCAATTTGTCAATTTTCTGCAAGACAGAAAAGCAAGTTTCATGATTTCCATTTATTTGCTGCACAGCAAACAGAACACCGTTAATGGACTTACAAGGCCATGTGTTTGTATTACAAGTTCTAAACCACGAAAATATAAAAGTAATAAGTCATGCAAATGGTGTCTACTATGGTCCGGCCCTGACACTGTCTTATCAGGACACTGCCTTCTATTCATCTATCCATCATTTTCAGTCTGCGGTTTTTTATTTATATTATTTATATTTTCTTCAAAACATCGAATATATTCATAGGTAGGTAGGTAGGTAGGTAGGTAGGTAGGTAGGTAGGTAGGTAGGTAGGTAGGTAGGTATAGAGAGGTGGTATGTAACATAGCTAAGATATCCAAAGTCCACAACATTGATAGCTATATCCTATATCTAACCTATCTACATGAACTTAGTGCTAGCTCATTTCTAACCTAACTATATGAACTTAGAGCTAGCCCATCTCTAATCTATCTATATGAACTTTGTGCTAGCCCATCTCTAACCTAACTTCACATATATGAAGCTACCTCACAAGATAGATAGATATAGATATATTAACCAATACCAATAAATATAAATACCTTCTAATACATGCATCTATCTATCAACAACTCTAAACTATCAAAAACTACAGACTCGACAGTTGTGTGTGTGTCTACTAGATATTTAAGAAAGAAGAAACTACAGATGAACATGGGAATACCAGGAAAATGAAAATGTCTTAGTGAAAAGGCGAAAGGAGTCTCAAGGGGTCAGAATGGACGGAGAGGGGGGGGGGGAGTCAAGAGGATGATAAAACTTGCCTTAAACCTACAGGATAAAATTGCTGAAAAACTACCATAGAAAGTAAGAATTTTGCTCCAATATAAGAGTTTAACTTTTAAAATGGTTCTCTGAAGTATGATTTTTCGTCCTTCATAAGCTTCTTTGTTTCTTTAACAATTTAAACAATATTATCTCAGCTAAATTAAATATTACTCTAATAATTAAAATGAGACTCACTAATTTTCGCCGTCAATTAAGCAAAAGTTACTCTCAACCAAGAAATATATAGACCAGGAACCACCATATCTGATGCGTCAAATCTGTGTACTGCACTGGGAGGAGATCAAAACAAAGAATTCAGGGGCAACGCATCATGTTTGAGGGAAAAGGGCCCAAGGGGTGGCATAAGAATAGATTGCTATTGCCAAAAATCATAAGTATTCGCTCTAACTTGATATAATAACTTGTTTTTTGTTGGACTGCAATATCTCATCAGAGCTGTAGTCCTTTCCCTTCAAATTCTGTGGGGGCACTGGGTTGGTTTACATTCCTTCCACAGTGTACAGTACACAATTTACTGAATATCTGAGTTGGGCGTTCCTGTATACAGTTCCTAACAAAACTGATAATGGACCTCAACAAAACTAACATTTGCCTTCAACAAAACTAATATTTGCCCTCAACAAAGCTAATATTCGCTTCGACAAAGCTAATATTCGCCTCGACAAAGCTAATATTCGCCCTTGACATTGCTAATATTCGCCTCAAAAAACCTAATATTCACCCTTGACAAAGTTAATATTCGCCTCGACAAAGTTAATATTCGCCTCGACAAAGTTAATATTCGCTTCGACAAAGCAAATATTCGACCTTAACAAAGTTAATATTTGCCTCGACAAATCTGACATTAATCTGTTCAGAGCTGACATTTATCTGTTCAAAGCTAACATTCATCTGTTCAAAGCTAACATTGGCCTCGAAAAAGCTAATATTCGCCTCGACAAAGCTGACATTCGCCCCGACATTGCTAATATTGAGCCTGAACTAAGCTACGCCCCTGATATACCCCCTCTTGAACCAGTCTGGAGTTAAATATAAGATCTAAGAGTTTAATCTCTGGAGAGAAGCTCCTGCTAAATTGATACTAAGGAGGTATCTTTATAGAAAGAGAAGAAAATCCTTGAACTCTGATGAAAATTCTCAAAACTTTTCTATATACAATATTTTAAAAATATTTTTTTCAATTGATAATTAAAGTCTTACCGCCGATCTTGGTTGTCTATCCTTTGAGCCGGAAATAAGCAGAATGTAGTTGTACTTGGTGTGAGTTGGAAGCGCGTTTCGGCGTGCATAGAGTGCAAATGATGAGCCGCGAGGCACCCACACTTCAATGCTAACTTTTCGAGACTCCTGAAACACGGCACAAATAAGGTATTAGTTTATAACAAAAAAGTGTGTGAATAAAAGAAAAATTATAAAAACATATTAATAAGAAAATGAGGAAAGAAAAATTAAGATACAAAAATCCCAAATGAGAGATGAACACAATAGAAGATTAGGAAATAATATAGAAAGAAAAAAATAGAAAAATAAATAAATGCGAAAATAAGAAAATCGCAGGTACTATTTAAGAAAAAGAGTATTAAAAAAATATATTCTGAAGCAGTATTGACCTAAAAATAGAAAATCCTTTAAAAAAATCAGTTCTCTTGAATATCCAAACAGTCCTTCTTCTCACCAAATTCTAACATGATCAATATTTTTTCCTAATTCAAATTAGCAAAGTTATAATTTATAAAATAAACCGAATTTCCATTTATTTTGTGAAGAAAATATGATTTTAGTGGTTTATGTTCTGAGAGGTTTATTTTCTCAATTTTGGGTCTAAATCCCTCCTGCTTAAAGTGTCGGGCCCATATAATATATATAGTACATTGTACACTTAAAAGAAAAAGTAGTTTAACATTGGATAGAAGGGGAAGAGAACGAAGACATTTGAATCACAAGATCTAGGAATCTTTATTCCGAACTACGAATTATCTTCTTGTACCATCTTTTCTTTCCTTATCGTTTTTCCTACCCACTCCTTTCTTTTATGATTAGTCATCTTATTTATTATTCGCTTTATCACAAAACCTTTATTAATTATTATTTTCCATGAAAAATATTCCTTTATAATTCTTCGTCTTTTATTATAAACTCTTTCGATCCCTCATATGTATTTTACTTTATTGTTTGAATTCACAGCGATTTTCTGGTCTAGTAATCTAAATTTCCTTCTAAAATTTATTTTAATTTATTTTAATTATCCCGACAATTTATTCTTTTATATAAATAGAAATTCCTGAATACACGCCTAGTAACCTACTTAAAACGATAGAATAGATAGATTGATAGATAGATAGATAGATATAGAAGAAATCAGTTAGATAAAATTGTTGAAGCATAACGGACTAAATTTAATAAATAGGATAGATACTTAAAGCTAACCTTTAGACAGAAAGGTAGAACTTATCAAATTAGATAGATAGTTAGATAGAACTAATTAAATTAGATAGATAGATAAATGGATGCTTGATATATACTTTAGAGGTATCTAGATTAGATTAGGTTTAAAACACTTATCTTCTAAATAGGTTTATCTGAATATACATTATCTTAATTTATCATGCTGAAATTTACAGGTTTCACTATTAAAGCATTGATTTTCGTACTTTTATTTTATTGTACTGCAAAAAATATTATTACTATTTCATAGTACCGGACAATACAACAGTACAATACAATACTGTACTGTACTGTACTGTGCTGCACTGTACTGTATTTTTTGTACTGTACTGTACTGCACTGTATTGAACTTTATTGTCCTGTACCATGAAATAATAAAAAATATATTTTTTAACAACGCTGTAACCAAGAAAGGTTATTTCTTCCCGTACAATTTTACAATTGTACATATGCTGTACAGTTGTAGTTATGCGTACATACCTGATGGAAGAATTGTAGGTTAAGGTATCCGAAGGGAGGAACCAGGACGGCCATCTTATCCTTGAGCTTGATTTCTCGGAAACTAGAACCATCTGGAGGTAAATTCCGGGGTTCCAGGACACTTTCCAGACCTACATACACATAGAAATACATACATAGATAGATAAATAGATATATTTAGATTTATCTATAGACTTAGATAAAAAGAGATTTAGATAAAAGATAAATGAATAGATATATAGATATTTAAATGAAAAGATAGATAGCTAGATAGATAGATTTAGATAGATAAATTAAGGTAGAAAGATAAATTTTGTTTAAGGCTTGTGTGATTTTTATGAAAGAAAACTAAAATTCTAAAGCGGGTCTCTTGGGAATTAACCAGGAATTTTTTATGGTAAATGATAAATCAAACCTTGCACTATACTCAACGATATATTTAAAAAGAAAGACATAGATATTTGTATAACATCAATAGAAGATTAAAGAAATAAATGGCCGGAGAATCAGCAAGATATAGATAGATAATTAAATAAAAACCAGTAAATTATAGTCCAAATTTATTAATATTAATTGAGATATATAGAAAGAATCCTTCCGTGTAATTTGCTAAAAACAGTTCCGCCCCCAATCAACTAATACCACTTATTAGTGTAATTAATGAACAACTTGCCACGTTTTTACTCAGGATTAAACGTTTAACAGAAAAAGCCGAAACATCGCATTGGCAGGAGGAGTGAACACATATTTGAATGCAAAAGACGGTGCAATGATGCTTAAACACCTATATTTCTTATCACTTAACCCCCCCCCCTCCAAATTAAAAAACAGTTTATAAATTTGGGTTAGGGGTTGGGGTTGGAGGGGGAGGGAGAGGATGTAACACAACCTTCCAAGAAAACAATTTTAGGAGCGGAAAAAATTACATTTCTAACTTAATTTTGATTCTTCATTCTTTCGTTGTGAATCAGACTCACTTGGAGTCACTTGATATTATCTCTACAGTCCCTTTAAGCATGGTTGAATTATATTTGCATATACAGGAGAAGAAGAACTTATTTATGATGATGGTTTGAAGTCTGATCCTATCTAGGATTAACACTGGGGAATACTTACTCACTCACTCACTCAACTATCTTCTAACGTCTTATGGTTTTCTATTTCTTTATCTATCGGACCTACCTAATATATCGGCTGGTTTATTTATCTGACCTACCGAATATATCGGTTGGTTTATCTATCTGACCTACCAAATATATATCGGTTGGTTTATCTTTCTGACCTACTGAATATATCGGTTGGTTTATCTATCTGACCTACCGAATATATCGGTTGGTTTATCTATCTGACCTACCGAATATATCGGTTGGTTTATCTAGATTACAATGAGAAAAGATGTTCAACAATATAACCATCATTAAACGGTACAGAGGAGAAGGGGTGGAGAGGGAGCAGCCGAAGGAGTATCGGGAAAAGAGAAAAGAGGAGAAAGGGGAAGAGGAATAGAAGAGTTGAGTGACTGACCTAGAAAGGATTATCGAAATACGTATAGATAAAAAAGGGAAAGTGGAAATATATCAATCATAACGCATGACCCCTTGACTAATTTCTTTCACATTTTGTTTAGGGGACATCAAAAAAAAGGCATTTTCTGGCCTGCTTTCAAAATTTTGAATTATGTGGGTTGACTTTTATCAAAAAAATCTTATCTTCCAGACTAATAAATAAATAATAGGGGAAAAGGAACTGATTAGGACCAGACTTGAGAGGATGAATTAATAAAGAAATAAAAGGATAAATGGATAAATTAATACAAAGGGTGAATTGGATGAATGGAGATGAAGAATAAATCGGGATGAAAGAAAGGACGGATGAAAGGAAATATGCATGAATGAATGAATACCATGATTGGATGGATGGGGTTTGAAGGATGAATATATTATAGATGGATGAATGAATGAAACTATACCTGGATTGGATTGGATTGGATAGATAAAGATTAAAGAATGAATGGTTTATAGATGGTGAATGAATGAATCTATACCTGGATTGGATTGGATGGATGGGGATGAATCGACTACAGGGCAAGCTTTAGCTGCTTCATTTTCTTCTGTTGTTAAACTGGAACTTGCTGAAATAAAATAAATAAATGAACAAATAATTAAAAAATAAAAAAATAACTGAGTCGATTTCTCTGGAAATGGTCTAAAGAACCTAAGAGAAGAAGAAAAATGTGAAGAATTTTCTAATAACTATATTAAGAACTTCTTTGCTGAAATGTCTATTCTGACGTACAAAAAACTGTATACTTTTATAGAAAGTAAGTTATATAAGAAAGTAAATTTGATCAGAATAGAACAAGTTGCATATGCAAATCTACGTTTGCATAATCTAAAAGTGATATGATTGGTGATTAATCCCTATAATTTATTTGAACACTTATACTTGAAATTTCTATGAATTCTGCCAGATCTAATAATAATGATTTGACATATAAAAGCTTAAATATACAGGAACTAAAAAATATGAGTTTGAGGCAAGTATTTAGACCCTTTATACATTATATAGAGAACTGAACTAATTAACCATGAGACATCATTTAATTAACTTGCAAATTTCATTCTTATTCTCCCCCCACACTTCCACTAGTGCTGCGTAGAACCCCGTGTGTGCCCGCGTAGAATTTAATCAACACTGCGTAGAACATGGAATCTTGTTTTAAAATACCTCGCGACATTCTTACCCTTTTTTATTTACACACATCAAACAATAGACACAGCATAAATCACACAACAGCTCATTTTCACACATTCACTCACGCGATCATGTAAAGGGCTTTGTTTTAACAAAGTCCACCCCAAATATCAGCGTCATATTCAATGTTCTTTACGGATAAAGTAATCTTATTTGAACTAGGTATGATCAGTTGAACTACTCCTGTAATGCACTCTCAGTCACATTACTACTTCTCACTATTTAAGAAATCGGACCTTTAGCGACTCGTAATTTTTCCGATATAAAAGAGGTTCAAATCTAGAAGGGGATATCCTTTATCCCGATCTGCTAGTTAATCTGGAGATTAATAACATGAGGAGAATAGATATTATTTAGTCTCGAGATTAAGAAAAAGAGTGGATCAAGCATTAATCCCGATATCCAACATTCATAAGTTCCCAGCTCTGGTCACAAATAAGAGTGTACCCAGTAACCAATCCAATATTTCCATATACAATAATTGCCTTGATGAAACCTCCCTTAAATGTTCTGTCCTACACGACACCCTCCGTGTAATCTGCGAAGCAGGTGAGGAATTTTCTAATGATGATAGTATTGGCAGATTTCGAGGAAATTAATTTTCTTCAGTATTTTTTAATTTTGTCATTTTAACCCTCTGCCTCGCTATAAATGTATCTATATGTAATTATGTCCCTATGTATACAACTATGTCCTTATGTCTGTCTGTACGTCTTTATGTCTGTACATATATCGAGTCTGTAAAGGCCGTCTCTGTGTATCTCAATACGTTCCAATAATTCTCTAAATCATGAATATTAAAAAACTAAAAATCCATTTTGGCGATGCACAAATGAATGATACTGTATTGATTGCAACTTTTGTTAATTCTAAAATGCATTTCATTAATACAATAAATGCAAAAGTATAACTATGAAAAGGATACCATTAATAAGTACATGAAACAGGAAAAAGATATTTACTAAGATAAAATATTATTTAAATTAAGTGTACATAAAGGAGCATATTATGTACAAATTACACAAATCCATCCAGAAAAACAGAAGGATATATAGATGATATATAGATACATAGACAGATAGATAGATAAATGGATATATAAATATGGGTTCATTATACAGTAGTGATATATTGATAAATATAAAATGAAACATGAAACATTTTTTAACGCTGCAGGATATATTTTAATAAGCGTATTTCTGTCTATCTGTATATTTGTTTACATAACGATCTGTAGCATGTATCTATTCTATACATCTATCTATCTATCTGCACGTATTTCTGTCTAACTGTCGAACTATCCACACGTATTTCTGTCTATCTGTCTAACTATCCACACGTATTTCTGTCTAACTGTCTAACTATCCACACGAATTTCTGTCTATCTGTCTATGTAGAATGATCTTTGAAAGATTACAATTATAGAAACTTGTCTAGTCAGCAGTCAAATCAGGAGACAATTGTCTATCTATCTATCTATCTATCTATCTATCTATCTATCTATCTATCTATCTATCTATCTATCTATCTATCTATCTATCTATCTATCTATCTATCTATCTATCTATCTATCTATCTATCTATCTATCTATCTATCTATCTATCTATCTATCTATCTATCTATCTATCTATCTATCTATCTATCTATCTATCTATCTATCTATCTATCTATCTATCTATCTATCTATCTATCTATCTATCTATCTATCTATCTATCTATCTATCTATCTATCTATCTATCTATCTATCTATCTATCTATCTATCTATCTATCTATCTATCTATCTATCTATCTATCTATCTATCTATCTATCTATCTATCTATCTATCTATCTATCTATCTATCTATCTATCTATCTATCTATCTATCTATCTATCTATCTATCTATCTATCTATCTATCTATCTATCTATCTATCTATCTATCTATCTATCTATCTATCTATCTATCTANCCCCCCACCTCCCCTCTCTAACAAAATAAAAATTTTGAAGAAAAAAATTATGGAAAAAAGTTTTTCCCAGAATAATTTTGGGAAAAAATCTCTTTATAAAATGGTTTAAAACAATAATGTAATCAATAAATGAATAAATTTAAGGTGAGGGTAGAAGAATTAAGAGTAAAATAAATGAAAAATAAAAAGATAAAAAGTCAAAGAAAAATAAAGAACGAACTTGAAAATATTAAATGAATAACCACGTACATGAACAAATAAATGAAAACATTGATAAACGTTTGAACTTTTGAAGAAGAAAAAAATTAATGAATAAAAAAAATAAATGAAGAAACAAGGATGAATAATTAAAGAAAGGATAAATTATTTTTTTTTTTAAATAAACAAAAGTATGAATACATAAACATATGAATAAAGGAAAGGAAGAATTAAGGAATGAATAAATGAAAGAATGAATAAATGAAAGAATGAATAAATGAAAAAGTGAATGAGAAATCCGAGGTAAGAAAGATGATGCGCCTAATTAAAAAAATTGAATATATGAAAGGATAAAGAAAATGAATAAATGAATTGAGGAAAGAATGAATGAAAGGATGAATGGATGAAAGGATGGCTAAATGAACTAGAAAATGAATGTATGAATGAATGGAAAGACAGAGAAAAGAAAGATAATGCGGTTAACTAGAAAATGAAAGAAAAATAAATGAAAAAAAACAGAGAAAAGAAAGATGCGGTGAACTAGAAAATGAATGAAAAATGAATAAAAAAACAGAGAAAAGAAAGATAATGCGGTGAACTAGAAAATCAGTAAATAAATGAATGGAAAAACAGAAAAAAAAGATGATGCCGTTAAATAGAAAATGAATGAAAGGATGAATGAATGAATGAATGAATGAATAGGTGAAAGGATGAATAAATGAATGAATGAATGGAGAAACAAGGAAAAGAAAGATGCGGTGAACTAGAAAATGAATGAATGAATGAATGAATGGAAAAACAGAGAAAAGAAAGATGATGCGGTTAACTAGAAAATGGAATGGAAAGATAAGACCTAATACCATCACCCTCCGCTAAAACAGCATTATCTTTCGGTCAGGCAGAATAGGTGGGAGGAAATCCTGCCAGTACTAGTACAAAGTCATTTTCCGTAAGCTTGGCCTAGCGACCAAGTAGGGCAAGAAGTCGGGTTGGGACAATAAAGCACCAAATCCCCTCCTATTTGGTCCAGAAAAGCCGGTACTTACCTGGTGTA